CCGGTTTTCTGGTGGTTCATTGGCAATAGGAATCTATCGACTTTCCTCAGGATCCTCAGATCTCAGCCTCCTGAGTAGCTAGGATTACAAGTACAAGCCGCTAATGCCTGGCGTGCGTGCGTGTGTGTGCGCGCGCGCGTGTGTGTGTGTGTGCGCGCGCGTGAGTGTGTGTGTGTGCGCGCGCGTGAGTGTGTGTGTGTGCGCGCGTGTGTGTGCGCGCGCGTGTGTGTGTGTGCGCGCGTGTGTGTGTGCGCGCGCGCGCGCGCGTGTGTGTGTGTGTGTGTGCGCGCGCATGTGTGTGTGCGTGTGCGTGTGTGTGTGCGCGCGTGCGTGCGCGCGTGTGTGTGCGTGTGTGCGCACGCGCGTGTGTGTGCGTGTGTGCGTGTGTGTGTGCGTGTGCGCGCGTGTGTGTGTGTGTGTGCGTGTGCGCGTGTGTGTGCGTGTGTGCGTGTGTGTGCGTGTGTGTGCGCGCGTGCGTGTGTGCGCGTGTGTGCGCGTGTGTGCGCGCGTGTGTGTGTGCGCGTGCGTGTGTGTGTGTGCGTGTGTGTGTGTGCGCGTGTGTGTGCGTGTGTGCGCACGCGCGCGTGTGTGTGTGCGTGTGTGCGCACGCGCGCGCGTGCCAGTTGCCAGTACTGGGGCTTGAATTCAGGGACATGGGCTCTCACTTGGCTCTTTCACTCAAGGCTGGCCATCTACCACTTGGGCCATGCTTCCAGTCCAGCCTTTTGTTGGTTATTGGAGATAAGAGTCTTAGATTTGTCCACCCAGACTGGCTTCAAGTCTGAGTCTCAAAGCTGAGATTGCAGCCATCTCAGTTTCCTTAAATGGCTAGGATGACAGTCGTGAGTCTCGGATACTTGCTTGGCGATAGTTCATTGACTTCTTTTTTTTGTTGGTCGTGGGGCTTGAACTCTAGGCCTGGGCACTGTCCCTCAGCTCTTCAGCTCAAAGCAAATGTTCTACTACTTGAGCCACAGCGCCACTTCCGGTTTTCTGGTGTTTTATTGGAGATAGGAGTCTCACGGACTTTCCTGCTCTAGCTGGCTTTGAACCGTGATCCTCAGATCTCAGCCTCCTAAGTAGCTAGGATGACAGGCGTGAGCCACCGGCGCCTGGCTAGTTCATTGGCTTCTAAACGGTGTACTTACCGAGCTAGGAGCTGGGCGTGCGCTGATGGGGATGTCCTGGAGGATAGAGGGGAGCGAGGGCACCGCGTGACCATTTCCTCCCCTCAGTCCAGGTGGAGGCCATAGCTGCCAGGTCCCCCGCGATGGAGGCTTGGCTCAGCCCTTCTCTGTGGCATTCGTGCCGAGGTGCGCTGTGCACCGCAGGGGTGTAGCGTTCTGCTCAGGACAGACAGTGCTGGCCAGCATGCTATCAATTCTAACCCAGATTTGAGGCCTGCCTGCCAGCTAATGACCCTGGGGTCCTTAGGCGAGGCTCCTTCCTTTGTCCTGGGTTTGTGGGGTGCCCCGCCCTGTCCCCCCGGCTCTCTCAGGTTTCACCATATGTCCAGTGAGTCACCCCAGCACTGCGGGGAGTCCTTGGGGACCACCAGCAGATCAGGTTGCCGGGGCGCAGAGCTTTCCCTGGGTTTCGGCTCCTCTGGGAAAGGCCCCGGGGTCCCTGGCAGATGGCTACTCCCTGGCTCCCCAGGGCAGCTGCCGTCTGATTGGCAGGCGAGGCCGGCTGTGGTCCCCAGGGTCTCAGACACGGGTGCTGGGTGAGGGCCGGGCACTGGTGGCCTGGCCAGGGAGGGGGCCGGCGTGCTGGGTGCAGCCGCCCGGCTGTGGGGCGGAACACAGCCATGCCAGCCCTGGTGGGGGGGGAGTGGGAGGGGCCTCTCACATCCGCGCGGTCTTGGCTGAGTGCTGGCCGGGCCGGGGCACATGGAGCAGCGGAGCCGGGCAAGGAGCGGGCGTCAGGCCCAGGAATCTCACGATGCGGCTGCAAAGCTGCCCATGAGTGCAGAGGATGCCGGGCGCCCTGGTGCCACAGCCCCTTCCCCACGCTCCGCTCCTTCCCAGCCGTGCTGGCTGCTGCCTGTTTGCAGCCTCTCCCTGGGTGGCCCGAGCCTGCCATTGTCCCCGCACAATGGTGGCGGCCAGTGCTGTGAGAAGAAAGCAGGACAGGAAGCCCCATCTAGGTCAGCCAGTGGGGCTCTCCTTGTGCCCCACCCTCCCCAGGCGGCTGCCTGGCTGAGGCTGCCTTTGTCTCCCTGTCTGAGGGCCAGAGGCGGCTTCCTGGCCACATTCCTGTCCACCGCTCCACTCTCTGCTCCTGTCCTGTCGCAGCCCCTCCGGGAGCCTCTGCTCCTTCCCCTCCACCCCCCCACCCCTGCGGGGTGCAGAGTCCAGGCCCCTACCATGTGTCAGGCCTTGCTTGTGCTGGGCCTTCCTTTTGATCTTTGAGTCCTACTGTGTGCTCCAGGCAGACCTGGGGAGAGCATCCTGTTAGCAGGAGTGGCTTGTGCAAAGGTCCCAGGGCAGGTGTAGGTTTGGCAAGGGGAAGGAGTCTACCTATGTGAGAGCCCGGCCCTAGATAAGTACGGTGTGGGCGTGCTGCACAGTGAGGTCATGGAATGCAGTAAGGATGAGGTCTCAGGCCTATAGTCTGGGGAAAGATCTGTTTTTTGTTTTTTTTTTTTAATTATTATTAAATGCACTGGGGAGGTTTTTTCTTTGTTTTTGGTCATGGGGCTTGAACTTGGGACCTGGGCACTCTCTCTGAGCTCTTTTGCTCAAGGCTAGTCCTTTACCACTTTGGCCCACAACACCACTTTTGGTTTTGTGGTGATTAATTGGAGATGAGAGTCTCCTGCCCAGGCTGGCTTTGGCCCGTGATTCTCAGATCTCAGGCACCTGAGTAGCTAGGATGACAGGCAAAAGTTACCAGTGCTCAGTTTTGTGGAAGACTTTTTTGTGTTTTCCTTCTTCTTTGGGTGGTAACTAGGGTTTGAACCCAAGGTATTATGCGCTCAGTTGGTTTGTGTTAGGTTTTTAAAAAGAGATAGCCGAGTAAGAACAGCACCACGCACGTGGTATTCAGGTAAGGGGTAGGTTTATTCAGTAGATCTGCTGGGACCAGGCCAGGTTGGCACTCCACGTGGTGGGGAAAGGCCTGGGAAAGAGAGAGAAAAGAGCTAGAAAAGAGAGGAAAGAGCTAGAAAAGAGAGGAAAGAGCTAGAAAAGAGAGCAGGTGGGAAAGAGCAAGCTAGGAGAGAGAAGAGAAGGAAAGAGCTGAGAAAGAGCTAGAAAAGAGCCGAGAGAGAGAGAGAGAGAGAGAGAGAGAGAGAGAGAGAGAGAGAGAGAGAGTGTGAGAGAGTGTATGGGCCTGGGCTAGGCCTTATCTAGAGTATGGGAAGAGAAAGGTGTGGCCACATCAAATTCAGATGTGACCTCTTCCAGGTGTCCCAGTTGCCTAGGTAACGCAGGTACTGGGTGGAGACTTTGCTGCGAGGAGGGTGGAGTCTGCTCGCTATCCAGGAGCAGACCTTACAGTTTGCTTTCTTTGCTAGTGCTCTACTGCTTGAGCCATGTCTCCAGCTCTGCTTTTTGCTGGCCATTGGAGGTGGAATTTGGACTTTCCTGCCCTGGCTGGCCTCAAATGATGATCCTCAAATCTCAACCTTCTGAGTAGCTAGGATGACAGGTGTGAGCCATCTGAGCCACTGTTGCTCAGTGTGGTTGACATATTTAAGAAGACCCTTTGGGCTGGGCTTGTGGAGAAGGGGCTTTTAGGGGTGAGCAGGAGAGGGAAGGGTGACGGCTTCAGCCCTGGGCCTGGGCCTGCTGGTCTGGTTGGAGGAGCAGCAGCTGATTGCTTTTGCAGGGACATTGCTGTGGTGTCTGAGGGGAGGAGCCGGATGGGAGGAGCAGGGGTGGGGGGAGTGGGGTGGGGGGGAAAGGGGTGAGGCTTGGGGAAGTTGGGATGGAGGAGCACTGGGGAGCCCCTTGGGGGTGGGGTGGGTCTCTTCCGTGGGATCTGGGGCTGGAAAACCGATGGTGGGGGCCGGGGTGCGGGTGGTGGTGCGGGTTGCCGCGCTCGCGCAGGGTCGGCCCCTCACCCACCTGCCTGTGGCCTCCCAGCACGGTCCTGGGCTGGCCTCCTCCCCCCCCTCCCCCGCCACACCGAGCTCTCTCCAGGCGGGCGTGGGGGATGGGACGGGCTCTGGATGATCTGTGGCTGGTGGATCCCCCCCCCCCCAGCATGGGTCCCTGTGGCCCGTGGCTGTGATGGTTGTGGCAGCTCCCCAGCCTTTCCCCAGGTTAACCCGAGCTGGTGGGCTAGGCAGGGACCTCCGTGGGCAGCTGGCCTCGGTTTCCCTTCATTGCCAAGTCTGATCCCTCCCCCCACCAGGTCACTGCTGCTGCTTCTCAGAACCCCCCCCCCCCCCCGCCCTGCTCCCCACTCTCATGCGCCGGCAGCGAGGCCTCTCTGGGCACTTGGCCGGGAGGCTCTCTCGCGTGGCGTGGCGTGGCGTGGCGTGGCGGTGCTTGCCTGTCATCCCATGCCGGGAGGTCGAGGCAGGGGCCAGGCAGGTGTGTGCCCCTGCCCTGCCCACTCACACAGTCAGGCGGCCGGTGTCACGCCACCCAGGAAGTGTGGCGGGCGGCTGCTGGAGGTCAACAGGACCTGCTCTGCTCTGTGGTACTGGGACTGAACCCAGCGCCTCACACTCGCTAGGCCAGCACTCTGCCACTGAGTCATGCCTCCACTCCTTCTGGTTTTAAGATGGGGCCTCTTGCTAAGTCTACTGCGGCCAGCCTCTAACTACTGTCCTCCTCACTCAGCCTCTCATAGCTGGACCGTCCCCGTCAACAAAGTGAGATCAGATTGGAGGGGCACTTGTGTGATGCAGGAACTCGGTGCCCGAGTGGGCCCCAGGCTGGCATGGGGTCCCTGCCCATGTCCCTGGACCGCAGCAGTCCCCCAGGGTGGTCAGTGTTGAAACCTGGCCTCACGTGACTTCCCCTCTGCCTCTCCTCTCCCCCCGCCAGGCCTTCCTGCAGCGCATCCGGCAGAACGTGGCCGACTCTGTGGACAAGGGCCTCACGGAGGAGAACGTCAAGGTAGGACCCGCCCCTCCCAGTCTTCCCTGTTGCTGTGGCTGGTGCTCCTCCCGGGAGATGCCCGGGCGTGGCGCCCGCCAGCCCCAGAGGCCTCTGTCCTGGGAGCCACGGGAGCTGCCTGCATCACTCGATGCCCATCACTCGATGGCGTGGCCACCATCTTCCTGCCTTCTCCTTGGGTCCGGCCCCTGGCCTGGGAGCCTGGCGCCCACCCCTGCCCCCTGCCGGGGTGCTGGACATCGAGTGTCCCTGCAGGGTGCCAGCGTCACCAGGCCCGGCTTCTTCTAGGCCTTGGGCCTGGAGGTCCTGGTCCAAGGGGAGAGGGGAAGATGGGGCAGGGCTGCAGAGTTGATGCCTGTGGGGTGGGGGTGGGGTGGACCCCCACGTCTGGTTCTTCAGGACAGGGACCTGGCCCACCGTGATTCTGAGTTTGCTTTCTTTGCATAGGCCAACAGGCTCAGAGTGGAAAAGGGAGCTGGTGGAGGGTGGTCACTGGTCCTGGGAGTGGCGCGTGTGTGCGCGCGTGTGTGTGTGTGTGTGTGTGTGTGTGCGCATGCAGGTACGCGCGCGCGCACACACACACACACACAGAGCTTCCAGGTAGAACCTTTCTTGTTATGCACCCCTCCTGTTAGAACACCACTTCCACACGGCGGGGCCTTGTCTCAGTCCTGCCATCCCCTCAGGGCCTCTGATTTACCCAGCACATAGTAGGTGCTTAGTAAACACTAAGTTGGTGGCCAAGTCCTCCCTGCAGCCAAAATTTGCTTGTTGTTTTTTTTTTTTTTTTGCTAGTGCTGGGGCTTGAATCAGGGCCTAGGCTCTGTCCCTGAGCCTCTCTGTGCTCAAGGCTAGCGCTCTACCACTTGAGCCACAGCACCATTTCAGGCTTTTTCTGTGTATGTGGTACTGAGGAATCGAACTCAGGGCTTCATGCATCTAGACAAGCACTCTACCATTAAGCCGCATTCCCAGCCCTGTGTTTGGTTTTTGTGCAAGCACCTCCTTCAAAAGTTAAAGTAAAAAAAAAACAAAAACAAAAAACTCCCTTGTTAAAAGGAGATGGTGCCGATGCAGCACCGAAGTAAAATCTCTAGTTTCCCAACCGGCCAGAGCCCTGCGGTTACCAACGTGTATCGTAGCCAAGAGTCCTCTGTTCCTCAAGCACAGATGTGAGAGGTCTTTCTGGTGTTGGTTTACACCTATGCCCAACAGAGGCCCGTTTGGCACCTCAGCGCCCCCCTCCCCCACCAAACGGAAGGCCAGCATGGACGTCCACAGTCCATAGGAAGATAGATTGGAATCTGCCCCTCCTCTTGCAGACTGCATAGTAGTCCACTGCGGGTTATTATTTAGTTTCCATGACTGCAGAGCAGGCACACCCCTGAAACGTGACAGTTTCCTCACCCCCAAATATGTGACAGCCCAGAGTGTCCACAGGCCCGGCTGAATGTCTCGTTTGGAGATGACTGATGGAAAGCCTCGCTTCCAGGATGTAGCGTTGCCGCGTCCCCGGGGCGAGTGCAGACCCGGGGCGATCCTCCCCCCCACGGCCCAGGCACGGGTGTGAGCCGGGCTCTGGCAGGACGCGGCAGTGGTGTGTGGGTGTGACGTGGCGCTGTGCATGGTGTGGCCTTGGGTTCTGTTCTCTGAGCCAGGGGTGGTGGCTCACACCTGTAATCCCAGCTTCTCAGGAGGCTGAGGTGTGACAATCATGGTTTGAAGCCAGCCTGGGCAAGAAACTCTTTGGAACTCGTATCTTCCAAAAAGCCAGCAGTAGAGCTGTGACTCAGGTGGTAGTGTGGCTCCTGTTGCTCCGGCCATCCCGGGGCAGACCAGCCGGCAGAGGCTGGGCTGGGGAGGATGTGGCCTGTTGGGCTGGCTCTGCCCTCCCGGTGAGCCCCCACGGACCCTGGCCCCCGGCCCTCGTTCCCCCAGATCCTGTTCTCCAACATCGAAGACATCCTGGAGGTCCACAAGGATTTCCTGGCCGCCCTGGAGTACTGCCTGCGCCCTGAGCCGCAGTCCCAGCATGAGCTGGGGAACGTTTTCCTGAAATTTGTGAGTATAGTACCCAGCGCCGGAGGAAGCAGCATCCAGCCCCCCCACCCTACCCCCGCTCCCAGCCCACCTCCCTGGCCTGCCCTGGACCCCTGGGGCCTCTCTGCCCAGGTGATGGGTGGTCACCTGCACACTTCAGGGCCTTGATGCTCATCCTGTGGCCTTCACATGGAGAATGGCCTCCCACAGGACGGCTGTGTCCTGGGCTTCCCAACCTCCTGGCCCAGGGGTCCTGGGGACCCCCTTCTCCAGGGCCCTCCCCCACCCTTCCCTCCCCTCCTCGTTCCACAGGCCAGCAAAAGGCTCAAGCCAGCGCATTGGCTCAAGCCAGCAATCCTAGCTACTCTGGAGGCTGAGAGCTGAGCTTCATGGTTTGAAGCCAGCCAGGCAAGAAAGCCTGTGAAACTCTCATCACCAACTAATCACTAAAAAGCCATAAGTGGAGTCATGGCTCAGGGGGTAATGTACCAGCCTTGAGGAAGAAGGCTAAGGGATGGTGCCAGGTCTGAGCTGAAGGTCCAGAAGTAAGACACACGTACACGTACACGTAGACACACACACACACACACAGAACTGGGCTCAGACCCTTCCCGATGGTCAAGCCAGCGTTCTGCTCTTCGCACTTCATCTGCACCCCTGGTATTACTGGTTTATTCCTTTGTGAGCAGTCACTGAGGGCGTAAACTTAGCAGGGAAGCGTGCCGTAGCGTTGGAAATGGCCGGAGCCCATGTTCTTTGGTAACAGAAGTCCTCTAAGAACAAAAGATGGAACCAGAGGGGTCACTGCCCAGCAGCCTGGGCCGGGGACACCGTGGGCTTCCTTGGCGGAAGGTTCCAGGGTATAGATGCTCTGAACGTGTCACGTGCATCCGTCTCCAAACCCCTGAGCTGATGGCAGCGATTGAGAACGCTGGTGTGAGTCAGTGTTTTTACTTTAAAAAAATCACCTCGCTAATCTAAGCTGTGAAAGCATCGTTCCCCCCGGTGAGTCACTGGCTCAGGGGGTTCGGAGCAGTCTGTCTCTGCCCCAGCTGGGAGCAGCGTGCAGGTGGCTGCAGAGCAGCTGCGGGCACCGGAGGCCCGGCAGCCTCACTGGAAAGCATGCCCCAGCAGGGCGGGCCCTGGGGTGTGCGCGGCGGCAGGGAGGAGGGGCTGGGCCTCCGTCCCACCGTGCCCGGGTGGAGAGTGGGCTGTGCGAGAGCTTGGGAGCCATGGACAGCATCTGGCTTAGGTCTGGGCCTTAGACATGGCAGTGCATGTGGGATGGGGCTTGATGGGGCTATGGCAGCCCGGCAGCATTCAACCTGGCCTCCCCCCTCTTCCCTCCCCCGCTAGCTAGCACCTGGGCCAGGAGTTGTACCAACCCAACCACTGCCTGCTGAATTGATCACAGACCAGTCCCAAGTGGCCTCTGCTTGCGCTGCTCCATGTGCTTTCCAGGCACCGGCCTTCAGAAAGTGCACGGCAGCAGTACCCATTCCACAGATGAGCAAACTGAGGCTCAGAGAGGTTAAGTGATGGTGCAGGGTTGCAGGGCTAGGATCAGGACTGAGACCAGATGGCTCTGGACCTGTATTTTCCCCCCCAGTCTTACCCGATATTGTCCTCTAAAACACACACACACAAGCACCCCCCCCCCCCCCCCACAGTACTGGGTCACAAGCCTCGGGATGTGGTGCTGAGTGTGTGACCGATTTGTTTCCTGTGGTCAGGAGGCTCCCAGTGGAGGCCAAGGGCAAGCTGAAGGTCATTTTACATGTCATTGGGACGGTGGCACATGGAAGACGCAGATGGGGTCAGGGGTGACTGTCCTGGTGCGTCAGGTCAGAGGTCAGCCACTGAAAGCAGGGCCCTCCAGGGAGACTTGAGTCTCAGTGAACTGCAGATGCCGCTTGAGCATCAGCACATCTCACGCCGTTCGGGACGTAAGCAGGGAGGGGGCTCTGTCGCCCGAGGGGTGAGTCGGGGAGAGGGCCAGGCCCCTGGGCTTTCTGGCCCCAGCAGGGACCCTGGATTCTGCTCTGCAGATGGTAGGAAGCTGTGGGGTTTGAGCACAGGAGTAGCGCAGTGAGGTCCTGTCTGATCCGAGCCCATCTCCCAGTGATGATGGCAAGGTGAGGAGACACCCCCTCCCCCTCCCCCCTTCTCCCTGCTGGAGGCCCAGTCCCTTCCCGCCTCTCCCCTCCTGGTCTCAGCCTTTCTGGCTGTGGTGTGGAATAGATGGTCACCATGTCACCTCAGACAACCCCTGGTACCCCTGGGGGGGGGGCTAGATCCCCTCCCCTGGGTGTCTCTAGCTGGTGACATACCCAGAAAGCCACTCAGGTCAGTGTGTGCCCAGCCCCACCACCACTGTCTCCCCGCGCTGGCCCCTGGGAGGAAGTGAGTCTGTCAGAGGCTTTCCACATTTGCAGACCTGGGCCTGGGCCGCAGCTGGGCTGCTCCTTACCAGGACTTCAGGATGCTCGGGCTTTGGAGGGGGGGAGGCTTTCTTTTGCTAAACTTAATGTCTCCAGGTTTCAAGCTGGGCCCCCACCCTTCTGATCCCTGAAGGAGAAGGGCTGGGGAAAGGGAAGTGGGGGGGGGGCGGGCGGACAGGATGCTGTATCTGTGGCAGACATCACCAATCAATCTTAGCACTAGGCCTATGGGCTCCCCAGGGGCTGCGGCAGCACTGCCATTGTTGAGGTTGGCCCCATTGTGGCATAGATGGAGGTGGACAGGGAAAGTGTAGCTTCTTGAGCTTAAATCCATGTTTTTATTGTCTTCTCCCTTTCAAAATGTGTCTGTGTCAAGATTACCTTCACTGTAAGTGATCAACCCCTCCCCCCCCACTACTTCAGATAGGCTTTCCAAAAGGATTTTTGCTAGGTGCTAGTGCCTATAATCCTAGCTACTCAAGAAGCTGAGAGCTGAGGATATTTGGCTCTAAGCCAGCTCAGGCAGGAATGTCTGTGAGACTCGTATCTCCAATTAACCACCAAAAAAGCCACTAGTAGAGCTGTTGCTCAAGTGGTAGAGCACTAGCCTTAAGCAAAAACAAAAACAAAAACTCAAGGGAAATGCCTAGGCCCTGAGTTCAAGCCACAGTACGAGTGCACACTCATCCAAAAAAGGATTTTTGTCCATGCGTCTTAGTGAAAGGTTCAGAGAGTGTGTTGGATAGCTGGATGGGATCGCTGGATCAAGGAGCCCAGATGCTGTCTTCTGGACCTGACTTTTCTCTACCTTTGGGTCTTGTTTTCCTCTATACTGGTTTTATTTTAAAGTTGGTATGGTGGAGCCTTGTGGTGGCTGTGTCAGCTCAGCCACTGAAGTTCAGAGAACACCTCTTTCCAGTAATTCTGTGAGTCCTGCAGGACTGGCACGGGCCCAGGGTGGGTCACATGGCCACTGTCCTCAGGAAGGGAGCTCTCTGGTTGGTTTGGACTGGGTCACAGGCTCACCTGGGGTGCCCGGGGCTGTGGTGGGATCAGCCTGGGGAGAAGCAGGGAGCTGGTTCTGGGGCCTGCCAGGCCCCCCTCACTTCCTCCTCTGGTTCATTTTCATTCATCAGAAAGTCCCAGTGCCTGCCATCTGCCAGGCACTCCTGTCCCTGCCATAGTTTACCAGTGGTAAATGCAAGCCCTGTGCCCATGGAGCTGCCAGGCCAAGAGGACAGAAAGAGAAAGAGTTCTCCTCCTGCCTGCCTGCATTCAGAGCCCAGCCCTGACTCTTCGGTCCAGTTGGTGTTCTCTGCAGGAGAGGCCTCAGACAGGGCCTTGCATCACAGACAGGAAAGGGCCTCCCTCTTCCTGGCCTGCCTTCCCCTCCGGCAGCTGAGGCCTGGTTGTGGATATGTCCTGCAGCCCCCTCCTCGGCGCTCTCTGCCCCGGGGTGAGCCTCTGCCTTCCAGATCCTCTGCGATCCCCTGGCTCATTGGAGACCAGCACAATTAGATCTGTGCCTTCCAGACCCTTGGCGATCCCCAGCCTCCCCAGTTTCCTTCCCTGCCCTCATTTCTATGTCGGTTCCTAGGTGCGCTGCAGTGTGGGCCAGGACATGCGTGGTGTTTTGTGATGTTCCTGTGTGTGGCTGCGGCGGCCACTGCTGGTGTCTGGAGCGTGTAGCTTGTGTGGTGTCGCTTCAAGATGGAGGGCCTGTCTTCGGAGTGTGAATCAGTGTGCGCGTGGGTGCACGTGGGTACACACCGGTAATTGTGGCATTGCTACTTTCATGGAGCAATTTGTGCTCCTTGATTGGTTGAAACTAATCTTGGTTCAGTGGCAGCGTCACGTGGTTGGCACTCCATATGATCCTCCAACAGCCCAGGTGTGGGGCTCTGTCCTTCCGCCTGTTTAACGGAGGCAGAGGGAGGTAGAGCAACTCTGCCCAAGGCCACGTACCACTGCCGGGAGTGTGGCGCTGGCTTTGTTTTGTCTTCATGGCCTCGCTCCAGGGGCAATGGGTTTGTGGATCTGCGGTGGGGGTCGGCGCCTTCGTGGCTTAGACTCCTGCCCCCTTCCCGTGGCACGGCCATGAGTGGGACGTAGGCATTGGGTCAGGAGAGTTTGGGTCCTGGTTCTGCTGCGTCTGTAGCTGCGAGACCCCGAGCAAGTCCTTGTCCCGGGTCTTCGGTGAGTGCCTGGGTCTCCTCCAGTATGGAAGGAGGGCCGCGCTGATCTGAAGCCCGAGTGCCTGTCCTCCGCGCGTGGCCTCCCTCAGGACATCTGCACTGGTGTTGCATGGGCAGCTGGTCCGGGGCACAGAGTGGGGAGAAGGCGGCTGGGCCCCTGCTGACCTCTCCTTTGGCTCCTCATCCCTGCAGCCTCTTGCCGAAGGGACAGCTTAGGCATGTTTAGAACAGGACAAGTTCTTGCCATGGAGACCCACCTCTTCCTTCCTTAGTCTCTTGGGGGGTCTCTGGCCGCCCCAGCCCCGAGCCTTTCCTCCCTGGCAGCTCTGGGGCTTCCTTGTTTAGGGCTTGGTCGGTTCTGGAGCCCTTGGGAAGGGCAACGGCTCCGCTGAGAGCTTCCTGCCGGGGGGCTCTGTCCCCTCCACTTTGGAGCCCTCAGCCCGCGGTGTGGATGGGTGACCTGCGGTGACCTCTGCACTTTGGGCTCAGGGGCACCTGGGAGTCAGGAGAGCCATCCCTCTGCTGTGACAACTCTGTGACTTACTAATGTCACCTTGTCACTGGGGACCCTGAGGCTCAGGGAGGTCAAGTCCCCCAGTTCCCAGCGAGAGATGCAGATGGCCCAGGCCCGAGCCCAGGCCGCCTGGCTGTCACCCCTGCTGTGTCACGGGTTCTGGGTACAGCACTGGGACATGTGGAGAGGGAGCCCCAAGTGAGCAGGCCTGCCCCTCCTGAACCCCCACACAGCAGCCTCGTGGGGCCTGGGAGGCCTGTCCTCCCCCACCTGGCCTGTGGCCAGGGGCGCCCCTCCAGCACCTGCCTTCCTCCCGGCCCGCCTCCCCAGCTCTGCCCCTGTCTTGCAGAAGGACAAGTTCTGCGTGTATGAGGAGTACTGCAGCAACCACGAGAAGGCTCTGAGGCTGCTGGTGGAACTCAACAAGATCCCCACTGCACGGGCCTTCCTTCTGGTGAGTGCGTCGCTGCCTGGTCAGCTCCGGGAGGCAGGCCGGGCAACGCTTTTCTGGTGGGCTCTGGCTGGTGGAACTGCAAGGCAGGCAGGGGCCGGGTCCGACTCCACCAGTTGCTGGCTGGTGATCCTGACAAATACAGTGGTGACTGCATTACTGCCATTGATAATGGGCTTACTGGGTATCAGGGTTACCCAGAAATGGAAGGAAGCTGGTGAAACCTTGAGGCAGTAGGATCCGGGGACGTTTGAGCCCCGAGAGGGCTGTAGACATGGCAGAGTGTCGGTGTGCAAACTATGGCGTCAGGAATGGGTCTGGGCTGTCCGTCCTCAGACGGGTCCTCCCTGGTCTCTGGCAACATGGCCTCTGGAAGTCCTGTGCTTTCCTTCTGTAGCCAAGCAGCCTCAGGATCAGCCAGTCTCCTCTCTCCTCCTTTTAACAGGGAAAAATCTCCAGTCTGATGCTCAATGGCTGAGCTTGGTTCAAAACCTTATCTCTGAACCAATTGCTCTAGAAGAAAGAATTGGGTGATATCCTGATTGGTCACTTCTGAGGGCGGAGGGCAGAGTTGGATCCACACACACCTGTAGGGCTTGAGGGCGGAGTGGGTCACAGAAGCATGGCTGGTTTGGGTCTGTGGGGCTGTGTGTCAGTGGAGGGTGGATGGTGGTCAGGCAGGACAGTCGATGCCCATGTCATCTCTTTGTCAAGAGCTTTACTTACCCGTCAGACACACTGTCAGTTGTCATCTCTTTTGAGCCTTGCAGCCCATCTGTTGTGGATGAGTGGAGATAACACATTTGTCCACCTTGTAGACATCTCAAGTGACAGTGGCTTAAACAAGATGAGCATTTGTTTCTCCCTCACGTTGGCAGCTGCCAGCGTGGTTGTAGACAGTCTGGGTTGGTCAAAGGTCAAGACCTTAGGCGTGGCCCTCAAGGACAAGGTCCAGTGACCCCTTATCACATCCTAATTGTGGGTGGTCGGATGGGGTTGGGCGAGGAGGATAGTCTGCACCTGCTTTTTCCACTCATATTCTATTGGCCAGATGCAGTCATATGACCACATCTAGCTGCAAGGGAGGCTGGAACGTAGACTTCATTTTGGTCAGCCCTGTGTCTTGCTCAGAATTACACTGCTGTGGAGGAATACGCCAGGGGACGCCTCACAGCCTTCGCCAGAGGTGATGTTTAGGGTTCCAGAACAGTAAGTGGTTACTAAGAGTCCGTACTCGAAGAGTGATTGAGCTTGTGAGGTTCCAGTCCTGGCCCCGCACTCGGAGTCTCCCCTCATTCCATCACAGACTCCTTAGTCCCACACAATTTGTTTTTCTACCAGAATGCTGAGATCAGCACACGTAGCACAGGCGTGTCACCAGGTTCCAGGAGCTGGGTTGCATGTAAGGAAGGCGCAGTCTCCAGCTAAGTATTTCCAGAATTGCAGTTCAGAACGTTGCTGTTCGCTCATGGGCGGGTTCACGCTGCTTGGCCCAGTTCCCGTGAGCATCCGAAGGTGGCAAATTGGCCAGCTGGTTCCATTTTCATCTCTGGCTTTCGTGTGTTTTGTGGCTGCCGTCTTCCTCCCTGGCTACTGTACCTTCATGTTTCTGTCTTCACCTTCATACTCACAATGTACTAGGGGCTGAAAGTGAAGATGAACTCACACTAGTCACGTCCACCCCTGTGGACCGGGGTGGCCACGTTTCTGCCTTTCAGAAACTTTAGGTGCCAGCACCCAGTTCCTTCTGCCTGTCATTGGAGGGTGTCCCCTGTCCCCAGCTGGGGTCCTGGGAAGAGAAAGGTGACCAGAAGGTGCGGACAAGGGCTTAGAAAGAGCCCAACCTCTCCCTCCCTCTCTGGCCCCATCTTCCTGGTAGACTGGCAGCAGCTGGCCTAGGGCTGGCTGGGGACGGGTGGGTGCCAGCACACATGCCATCTGTCTCCCTTTTTCCTGGCGTCTCCTAGCTCTTGGCCACCTGCAAAAGAGCTGTCACGAGTCTGTTGTGGGATGTTAAGATGCCAGGAACAGATGGAATCTGGCTTTCTGCATGACGTGCTGTGCTCTCGCTGGTGATGCGACAGGACTCGAGCGTTTCCTGTCCGTCTGCTTGTCCGTAGTAAGGGGGTCCTTCACTCATTCACAACCTCCTCCTTCATTCACGTACTCACTCATTCATCCCATCCCCCTTTCACTTCACTCACTCATCCACTTGCTCACTCCCTAATAACTCCACTCATCCATTCCCTTCACTGATTCCTCACTTACTCTAACACCATTCATTCATCAACTCATTCACTGGCTCCATCACTTTTTCGCCAGCGCCTTCACAAGTACTTCTCTGGTTGAGATGAGTCTAAGCCCTGCGGCTACAGACGAAGAAGGCAGGAAAAATCCCTGTCCTCCCAGACTGACCATTCTTGTAGAGGATTCTCTCATTCAGCCTCAAGTTCTACGGAGGACATAAAGGAAGTCGAGGGCAGGCGAGTCGAGCATGCGACTGCTGTTTTAGTTTAGGCTTCGAGGAAGATGTGGTGCAGAGGACAGTGCAGTAGTGGATGGAGGGAGAGGGAGCTGTGGAGTAACTGGAGGGAAAAGCTTCCAGGTAGTGGGAGGAGGAACAAGGCCCGAGACACCGGAAGAGGATGGTGATTCAGGAATACAAGTCCCTGGAAAGAGCTGAGAGCTGGAGAGAAACGTTTATGTTCAGGCACAGCTTCCAATACTCAGCACACTCATTGAGGGGCGCACGTTTACGTGTTTTCCCCCAGTGCCACCGCCCGGGGCGTCCCCTCCCTCCCCTGTACGACAGAAGATTCTCCACTTCTTCCTGGCTGTGTCCTCTGTGTGTAGAGCAGAGCACTGCACCCTTCTCCACAAAGGCTGTTTTGCTTTTCTCGAACTCTACCTGAATTCACCCAGACAGGCTGCTTTCAGATCTGGGGCCTTTGCCGGACGCAGGCTCGTGGGCTTTGTCCCCGCAGGAGTGCGTGGCCTTCCTCTGGGGACCAGCTGGTGTCATTGTCTGCAGGGGGCAGGGTGGTGACAGCACAGTCAGAGAACAGTGTCCTTTGTCCTGTGTAAGGAAGACCAGGAGAGACCGACATGCCACAGCTGCCTGGCCAGTGGTCCTCCCTGGGGGGCTTAAACAACACTTACTCAGGTAGTTTTGGAGGCCAGGAGCCTGAGTTGGAGCTCACAGGAGCACGCTCCCTCCAGTGCTCCACGAAAGGCTTTGTCTCCCCCCCTCCCCGCCCCCCAACGCCTTGGCTGCGGCTCCCTCCGCTGCAGTCCCTGCCTTGCCCCTCTTCCTTGGCCTCCTGTGTCCTCTCCTGCTCCTACAAGGACTTGAGTCCTTCCAGTCAGGTCCCCTGTCCAGTGTGACCTCATCTTAACCGAATGACGGCGGTGAAGACCTTGTTTCCACCCACCGCCCAGCCCCCACAAGGCTACTGCCCCGGCCTGGGCAAGGTGGCAAGGCAGCAGGCGTCCCTGGGGTACCTTGGCCTGTGGTGTGGATGAACTGGCCAACTCCTGGGGGCCAGGAGGGCTCAGGGCCAGGCGCTGGGCAGGGAGGAGCGCAGGGGCAGGTGTGCCAGGTGAATGAAAGATCCCTCTTGGGGTGGGACACGGGGTGATAGGCAGGTTGCGGGAGAGCTTTGGGGAGGCGGGGCTGGCCATTCCCAACCCTGGCTCTGGGGAGAACCACCAGGAAGGCTGCAGACCCCGGGGGGGGGGGGGGGGGAAGCCAGTGGCCGCTCACCTGAGTGTCTTGTGTGAATGGGACGGCTCTTCCCAGGCCCTGGGGGGAGGGGCAGGAGTGATGAATGGCGGCTCTGTGTGTTTGTTGTTTTCCCTTCAAAATGAGATTAAAGCCAGACAGTTTGGAGGGCCTGGGACTCGGCTAGTGTCCGTGGCAGTCCTGGGAGACTCCTTGATCCTGGACAAAGGGACCGGCCCTTCTCCTGCCAGGCCCCGGAGCTTCTGGAAAGCTCTGCCCACCCCCAGGCTCCCCGGCCCCTGTCCAGCACTGACATCATCAGGGCAGCTAGTGCAGCGCTGGCCCCGAAGACAAAGGCCTGAGTGTGAGCAGCGTCGGGCTGGTACCTCAGCTGCCGTGGCCTGAACCCCATCTGTGCCGGGGGCACCCATGGCGGCGGGGAGCTAGGGGCCACAGCGGGGCTCCGGCTGCTGCACGCCGCTTCCCACGGAGGCGGGTGTGTTGCAGAGTTCGAGGGCAGCACCCCCGGCTGAGTCCCTGTGGGAAGGAGACAGCCCGTGCCGTTCCAAGCCATGAGCCCGGCTTGCCATGCACGGGAGGGTCCTTGCCTGGCACACTCGGCCCTTGGTAACGCCGTCAGCTCACACCTGCATCTGAGTGTGAGCCCCACCCCCCCACCCCAGGCTTGGACCTGTGCCCAGCGCCGGGTGGGCCCACACCGAGTGTGTGAGTGACAGGCTGGCAGCCCTTCCCCCCAGAATCCAAGTTCACTTCCTGTCTTCTGGGCTGCTGTGGTGGGGGCTGAGGTGCCTTGTTGCCGGGCTGGGGGTGGGGGCGCTGCCACCAGCTCCTTCCTTGCCTTGTTAATTTATGCTTATGGATGTGTTTGGCATCTCATGAGCCCAGGGACCCAGGACCGTGGACCGTAGACACATAACTCAGGGTCCCTGATGTCCAAAACCCTATGCTTGCGTGGGAGAAGTTCCCATTCCAGAGGCTCCAGGAAGAAAGCAGTCCCGAGAGCCGAATGCAGGCTGATCTTGGGGGCCAGATGGGCCAGATGCTTAGCACTGTGGTTCTAAACCTGGAGTCCTCAGCAGCCTGCCTGCTAGAACCCCTCCTTTCCGGCTGGCTTGTTCTGGGGGTGAGCTGAAGTGGAAGATGCCAGCGTCTGCGCTGTGACACCGGCCTGGTCATGGTTTCCAGTGACAGGCCGCTGGTCTCCCCGCCCATGTTAACAGTGCACAGGGTGGTAATGACACTGTATTTTGTCTCTGTGGGGGGAGGACAAAGCAGCCTGGGCTGCCCTGGAGGAGGCAGTACCCGGGGACCAGGGCATTGAGTGACGGCACGGACAGAGCTGGGCACCTGTGAGAGGAGTTAGGTCATCGAGTCCTGGTAAGAGCTGCACCTAACTGGGCTAGCTGGATGGTTGGTATACACTCGGTAGTGCCCACCCGTGAGCCCACTTCCTAGTGAATGGCTGTTTCGACTGCCTCAGCATCTGCTGTTGTAACGCAGCACTAGTGACTGTCCCTGGGTGACGGTTGACAGTCAGCGTGTGCATGACCGGGAGCTGGCAACTGTGCCTGTGAAAGGTAGATGGTAAATGTTTCAGGCTTTGCAACTGTACGGTCTCCACTTGAACTGTTCAAGGCTGCCTTTATAGCTCGAAAGCAGCTGCAGACACTGGGTGATGCCTGTGGTTTGGTCTAAGACTTCTTACCTGCATCCGGCTCCCAGGCCGCCCGGACCTTGAGGTAGGCTTTGTGCTGGGTTGTAGACGATGGCCTTTCCACTTCTCCTCGGGTTGCGAAGTTGCTTTCCAAGTGTCCATCTGTTGCTACATTAGAGCACAGGCGCTGGGCCTTGGGGGCAAGTGATAATGAAGGTCCTTGTCCCTGCAGAGCTGCATGTTGCTGGGAGGCCGGAAGACCACGGACATCCCACTGGAGGGTTACCTGCTGTCCCCGATCCAGCGGATCTGCAAGTACCCACTCCTACTCAAGGTGAGGCTCACCGGGCTCTTCCCCACAGAGGAAGTGTCACAGGAAACCTTCCCTGCACTGGCCTCTGCTACTTCAAGGAGCCGAGGTGTCTGCCGGCAGTGTTGGCTCCCTGCCGGCTGCATCCAGACCAGGCCCTGACCTCCTGCCTGCTCACTTCTTTATACCGTGGAGTCACTCTGATCGCAGGCCTCCTCAAGCTGAGAGTCAGTGGGAGTGTGAGCAGCTCTAGTGCTTCTCAGGAAGTCCGGAGAGTCATCAGACTCTGGCGGGGGGAATGTCACAAATTCTGAGCCATGTGGTTTGACTTGAGCCAATCTCATGAAGCCTTTCCTTGTACTGCTCTGTCTTCTAACCTGCTCAGACCTTTATTTACTGTTCACACAAGTGACCAGCCTCCGAGTAGTGCAGCTGATTGGCTGAGACAGGGTTGTACGTTCCACTCAGGTCCAATGACAGCGAGCAGGGCCATATTGTGTTCTGATTGGCTGAGACACAGTCTTACATTCCAGTCAGGTCTCCTGACAGAGATCGGGGAAGCAATGCTTTGTTCTGATTGGCTGAGACATGGTTGTATGTTCTACTCAGGTCCAGTGACATTGAGCTGAGCAGCAGTGCTGTGTTCTGATTGGCTGAGGACTGGGTCAGTGAACCAGTGACTCTCAGCCAAGACTTGGGTCCTGTACTCTAACCTTGAACTAGTCACTGGAGCCCACAAGGCTGGAAAAGAGGACAGATGGGACCTCTCCCCCCGCTTCCCCCCAAATCTGGGGTGGCTTGGCTTGTGACAGCCATCCATGTGTCTACTTTCTCCTTCTGCTCAGCCACCCTGGCTGGATCTTGAGCAGAGCAGGGTAGATCTGAGTGTGTGGAGACCCAAGGCGTTTGGGTCTCAGCTTCAGAATCCCACTGGGTGCTGCCACCTTGTGCTCCCTATCAGGGTTTTTCAGCTCTAACAAGTGTTGGGTGATGGCAGCTGCCCTGGCTGGCCCCTGGGCTCCCGCTGCTGGTAGCTTATTGAGAACAAAGCAAAACAAAACACATTCAGAAGAAGATGTAACAGGAACCAGCTGTGCCCAGCAGGGCCCAAACCACTCACCGTCCGGCCCCTGATCGGAGCCAAAGGCCGCCTGGGTTTGGGTTCTGGCTCTGGCACTTGTCAGCTATGTGACTTTGAGCCAGCCATGCCACTCCTGCTTCGGTTTCTCCTCTGGAGCATGGATTTGTGCTAAGAGCCCTTCCAACTTGTCAGGACCAGTGAACAGGCGCTGCGGCAACTTGGTCAGCACGGTGACTAGCCTGCTTCGGGAGATGAGGCCACAGCAGGGAAGCCGTGGTGTGACCACTGTCTTCCCAGATCCTCCCCCGACAGGCATTCTGAGCTGCCCAGGTGCTCAGGCATCGGACATACAGCACTTCTTGTTCCCTGTTGAGGCCTAAGACAAGCAGCCTGAGCTCTGTGGCTTTGTGCCAGGCCTGTTCCCTTCCTGGCTTTAGACCGTTGACCATCTACCATCTGAGCCGCTAACCCTTTGGATTCTGGGTCTGGACAAAGTTTGAGGTTCCAGTGGCTCTCAGAGCAGCAAGTTCCAGGACACTTGGGTTGGAACCAGTGCACAGGTGGCTGTGAGGCCTGCATCCGCCTAGAGGTCAGACTCCCGGGAGAACAGGACAGCGTGCAGACCTTCAGTCCCACTGCAGGAGAGGTCCGTAGGAAGTGTGGCGGCTGTGGTTCACCCTCCTCAGCAGAGCTGCTCATGGGGCTGACGTGCCTCTGGGAGCTACTCCTTTTCCTCCTCATGGCTGTGGTTGTGACGGGTGGATGGGGCATCTGGGGAGCTCGGGGCCAGCCAGCAGGACCTCCCATCCCTGTGGGGACTGCACGCCTCCCCCGCTGACAGCAGCCCAATGTCCTGGCCTTTGGTGCTCATGACCAGAGCGTTTGCATCAGTGAGCAGCTGGGTCCGAGGGGACCTTGTTACCCACAAGTGTCTCCTTCCTGTCACATTTTCCAGTGCATTTCTGAAAGGCAACCCTGTGAGCTCCTGCCTGGGATTCAGACTTAGCCTGTCCCCTTGGCCTCCGACACCCCCACAGATGTCCCCTGGCCCCCATGGGCCTCCTTGTCCCCCTGACCTCTGAATGGTGCCAGCCACAGGGTCGGAGTCTGCTGGGAGAGAAGGAGGCAAGAGAGAAAGCCTTTTTGGGAGCAGCCCAAAACTCTGGACTTGAACATTAATGTAAGAACAGCCAGCACATTGTGTCAGCTCTCCAGACCAGCCTGGGATAGATAGTTAGTATTTGCAGGCTTTGTGGAGTTTTCCATCCACGCTTCCAGCCAGGGAGATGATTGGGGTTTTGGGTGATGCCCCTGGTGCACAGCTGGCTGGCCCGAGAGTTGGGACCCAGCACCCTGGCCGCTGCAGGACACTCTCTGAGCACACACGGCTCTTGCTGTGGAGCCCATGGCACGCTGGCTGTTGGCTCCTGTCCCCGGTGCTGCCAGGCAGGTAGAGGGCCGTAGCTAGCTGGAGGGGGTACCACAGTCCCGGCCTCCCTCCTTGCTGGCCGCTGGCTCCCAGCGGCCTTTGCTCCCCAGATCTCAGTGAGCTGGTGGGGCTTCCTTCTGGTCTTCCCATATGTCCACTTGGTCTTGTGATGGCCTTGACCATTCTGGGGCCTTTAAAAAATAAAAACAAAGACAAGAGACTTAAAGGGATATTCAAGGTCTCTTCAGCGATCACTGCGGTAACTCTGGAATGTTCCTAGCACCCCAAAGGAAGCCCCAGGCCTACCAGCAGTCCCTTTTCCTCCTCAGCCACGAACGGTAACTTGGCTTCGTTCTGTGTCTGGGAATGGACCTCTTCTGGATCTCTCATAAACGGAGTTAATACTTGTCTCTTCGTGCCTTGGCTTCTTTAGCATCGGGTAGCCTGTGTTTGTACTCTACTCCTTTTTATGGCTGAATGAGATTCCACGCTGTGGCTGGACCTTTATTTACGCTGTGTCCGCTTTCTGTGCAGATCTATGTCTCTGTGAACGTCCATGGACATGGTTTTGGATGGGCTTTCCCACGACTTCCACTCTCCCCTCTGTGCTGATGATGTTGGCTGGGGACCCTCCCCGCTGCCCCGTCCCCCAACACCAGGCTTCTCCTGCACACAGCGGCGGGCCTGCAGCTCTTATTTAGCAAGCCCCTCACCAGTGCTGGCACCCCTCTGCCTCAGACGCCGCCCCCCCCCCCCATGGCTTCCTCAGGCAGCAGTGCCTCCTTCCTCCAATTCACTCAGGACAGACTGGAACCCTCTTTGACACCTGCCCCCCCCCCCCCAGCTCCTACCTCCCCCATCCTCCAGGATCCCCCACCCTCCTGCCTCAGTCTCCCCCTCCCACTCCTTCCCTCTGCCCTGACTCACCCCCCCCCCAAGCTCTCACCCCCCCCCCCCCCAGGTCCCCACTTCTGGCTCCTACCTGCCCCCACCCCAGCCTGGCTCCCACTTCCTTCCCCTGTCCCCAGCTCCTATCTCCCCCCCCCCCCAACCCACCCCACCCATGCCCAGCCCCAGAGGAAGTCCTGCCAGCTCCACCTCAGCACCTGCCCAGGGCCTGACCACTTCCTAGCTCCTGTGTCCCCCTCTCCCCATGGCCTGCTGTGGCTCCTGGCAGACTTCCCACACGCCCCTCCCCAGGCCCTCCCCCCATCCCACGCATTCGGAGGTTCATGCTGAAAATCCCCTGCCAGGCCCTTCACCAGCTCACCCTCGTGTCCTCTCTGTCTCCTCCTCTTGCTTTGGTTTTGCTCAGCCACTCTTGGCTCCCTGAGGGTTTGTGAACACCCCGGGCAGGATCCTGCCTCAGGGCCTTTGCACGTGCTGTTGCCTCTGCCTGGGACGTTGTTGCCCAGGTATCCCAGAACTCCCTCCCTGGACTTGGTCCAGCCTTGCTGCCTGGATGTCCTGATCTCAGGGGCCTTCTTCCCTGGCCACCTCCGTGACAGGACCACGCGGTCCCCTTCCTGTCCCCTCACCCTGCTTTTGCTTTTGTCTCTCCTGGTGTGCTGGCTGCCCACCCTGCGGCTGTTCATCCTGCGGCCATGCTGGTCAGTGAGTGCGGAGCTGTCCACGGTGGCAGCTGCCCCAGTAGAAAACTCCGCATTGGGTGTTTTTGCAGAATGTGCCCGGTGTGCCCTGGGCATCCGGGTCTCTGCACCTCCCCTCCCCTGCCTGGTGGGGTGACACAGCCATCCCCCAAGCTCTGCAGGGGACCTTGCCATCCGGTGGCAGGCTGTCATGGCAGCTGGCCACAGCTGGCCGGGCCAGCGACCCCGGGAGCACCAAGTGGGGTCCACGGCTGGGGGATGGCGAGGGCACTTCCTGGAAGGGTGTGTGTCCCGGATGCAGACAGGTTTCCCCTTCCCCCCTTGAGGCTCCCTTTTAGGGCCACATGAGGAGACCAGGCAAGCTGCATGGGAGGTGAGCGCACAGGACAGCCTTCCAAGTGGGCGCGCGGGGTCTGGCCTCTCCCCGCAGATCTCTCTTCTGCAGCCTCCTGGGGCCCTCCAGGAAAAGCTGCAGGCACTGCTGGATGGGGCTTTGGTGAGGAGGAGGATGTAGAGCTCCTGCTGGGCAGGGACTCAGCCTGGTGACCGCTCCCTGGGTCATCTTCCTTTCCCCACCTCTTCATCTTCCAGGCCCTTGGGGACCCTGGGCCTTCCCTGGGCCCCAGTGAGACTGAACAAACAGGTGGATGGGCAGTTGCCACAGGCATGTGTGTCTGGCTGTTGGTCTGGCGTTGGAGGCCCTTGTGCCAAGCTACTTCTCTTGGTGGGGCTGTGAGGGGGGGAGCGCCCAGGGTGGCCTGCTCAGAGCTGCACCCCTGGTAGCCCCCCGGGGCCCACATCCTCCCTGCCTGGAAGCCCTCCTCACGGCTGCTCAAGAAACCACAGGACAGCAGGCGGGCGGATGCCAGGGCGGTCACCGCCCTGCTGCAGGGGGCTTCCGCTGCCGCCCTGGCCCTGCAGGGTGGCGGTGGCCTCACGGCCTCCCCTCTGGTGGCCAAGGGCTCCCCAGGGCCTGCCCTGCTCAGACGCTGCCCTGCTCAGATGTGGGGGTTGTTTGCACTGGGCCTGCCGAAGCCCATGGCAACCCACCAAGCCCACGCTGCGCCTCTGGCTCTGCTCTGTGCCTCAGTTTCCTCCCTGTGAGAGAGAATAACTGGCCCCTCCCTGGATCAGCCTGTACAAAAAGTTAGTGATACCTCATGCCAACAAAGATCCTGGTGGTGGTGGGCATGCCTGTCATCACAGCCACCGGGGAGGTAGAAGTAGGAGGATGGTGATCTGAGGCCCGCCCTGGGGGAAACTGTGAGATCTGACCTGGAAAATAACGAAAGGGGGAAATGCTGAGGCGTGGATCAGGTGGTAGAATGCCTGCTTAGCAAGCACGAGGTCCTGAGTTCCAACCTTAGCACCGCCCCCTCCCCCCGCCAGCAAAGAGACCTGTGACCTGCCCGTCTCGAAGTCTTCCTGTCTTTGCTCCACTCCTCACTTACCTCCTTGCTGTTCTTCGTTATGTACCATTCCTTCTACCCATCATATTCTTCCCTCAGATTTTCAGCCAAGGTCTCTGCTCAGATGTCCCCTAACACCCCCCCCCCCCCCCCCCCCCCGCCATATGAAACAGCACTTCCTGATCCCTCGATTCCGGCTCCTCTCCCTGGTCTTTCTCTGACTGACCTGCTGTCTACTTAGCGTCTTCACTTTGCCCCTCTGCCGGTCCATCGCCGGGCCAGGCGAGGTGATGTTCGTTCTGTCACTGCTCGGGTGATTGCCGCTGAGCCAGGGCTGAGCTCCTTTCCTGTCCCCCGCCTCGGTGCAGGAGCTGGCCAAGAGGACCCCCGGCAAGCACCCGGACCACCCCGCAGTGCAGAGTGCCCTGCAGGCCATGAAGACGGTGTGCGCCAACATCAACGAGACCAAGCGGCAGATGGAGAAGCTGGAAGCGCTGGAGCAGCTGCAGTCACACATCGAGGGCTGGGAGGTGCGTCTCGCGGGGCCGCAGCCCACAAGGGGCCCGGGGCCCGGGGCGGGGTTCAGGCCACGCCGCCGTGGCGGATTCTCCACCAGAGTCAACACAGAAATCCAGGTTTTGAGTTTTCTCTGGAAAACCTGGTACCTCTCTGGGCCCTGTGCCCCCCAGCAGCTGCCTCTGGCCCCCCAGCCCTCCCTGTACCCCACTCTGCTGCACGCTGCCCTACCTGCCAGGTGTGCAACTTGAAAAAAAAAGGCTGTGCTGAGATTTGAACTCAGGGCCTTATGCTTGCTAGGTAAGTGCTCCACTGCTGAGCCACGCCTCTAGCCCACTTTTTATTGGTTATTATTATTATTATTTTTGGTCGGTGGTGGGGCCTGAACTCTGGGCCTAGCACTGTCCTTCAGCTCTTCAGCTCAAGGCTAGCACTCTACCACTTGAGCCACAGTGCCACTTCTGGCTTTTTCTGCTTATGTGGTGCCAAGGAATGGAACCCAGGGCCTCATGCATGCAAGGCAAGCGCTCTATCACTGAACCACCTTCCCAGCCCTATTGGTTGTTTTGAAATGGGGGTTTGATTCCTGCCTATGTGCCAGTCCTAGGCTTGAACTCAGGACCTGAGTGCTGCCTCTGAGCTTTCTTTGTTCAAGGCTAGTACTCTTACCACTTAAAGCCACGGCTCCACTTCCTGCTCTTTAGTGGTTAATTGAAGAGGAGAGTCTCATGGACTTTGCTGCCTAGGCTGGCTTTGAACCTTGGTCCTCAGTTCTCAGACTCCTGAGTAGGAGCAGGGAGGATTACAGGCGTGAGCCGTCTGTGTCCAGCCACACATGCCTATTTTATGCTTCCCACCGTAGCTGGGATGACAGGTGTGTGCCACCATGCCCAGCTTTGTCTGTTAAGATTGAGTCTGGCGAGCTTCTCTGGAACCTGTGATCTCTGGTGCTCAGCCTCCTCTGTGGGTAGGATTACAGGTGTGAGCTACCAGCACTGCAGCTGCTGGCTGTAGCTTCCGACTCAGGACTCGAGAGTAGCTTGTGAACGTCTACCGCAGGAGAGAAGGCCGCTCAGATGCGTCTTTCCCGGGACCCCAGGACACATTTCATATCTGAACCCCAGGGTGCTCATCCAGCACTCAGCAGCTGCTCAGTGAACGGTGTGACTTCCTCAGGATTGTGATTTTGTGAGAGGACGTGCTGGGGTTTGCACTCAGCCTACACTCCCCCGCCAGGCACTCTACCACTCCACCACCTCCAGCCCTTGAGGTTGTGAGGTTGTCTGTGATGTATTTGCTTGAGCCTCCCCGTCCCCTTAGATTATTAGACACTTCTTAGGAGCCTATAGGAGGAAATGGGGGGAAAAAAAGAAATCAAAGCCTCAGCTTGGAGCTGTGGGAGCCGGAGATGAAAGGCTCTGGCCGGACACTGCCGGAGGCACCGGGGATTTTTCTGGCTGGGTTTGGGATTTAGAGTTCTTTTCCTGAGCTTCGGGATCCCACACGCACTGCCTGGTGGCGGGAGGCTGAGGCCTGGCTGCTACGCCCCTCTGCGGGGTGCCTTCAGCTCCCTGGAGGCCTCCGGGGTCACCCATGAAAATACTGGGTTCTGCACAGAAGCCGTGTTTTGGGGTGAAGCTGGCCCAGCAGCTGGTGCGCTCAGTGCTTTCATCTGGGGGCATCAGCCTTGCCTTGTGGCCTCCACTGCACCAGCAGTGTCCCACCTGTAGGAGGTGGCAGCTTGCGAGTTCAAGGCCAGTCTGGGCTTTGCAGCAAGCTCCCCCCCCTCCACTTTCAGGTGTTGCCGGTGTCACTGGTCTGTGGGTGTGGGTCATGGCATGGCCTCCGGGGGCCTGGCTGGCCGGGGGCTCTTCCCCTGCCCCTTCCTCCCTCCCCTGGCGGCCCCAGCCTTGTTCTTTCTGTTAGATACTAAAGGAAGGGAGAGGGAGGGAGCAAGACACCTCCACTGCCAGAGCCCCTGGGTTTAGCACCATCAGTGTCTGTCTTGCTCACCAGGCAGAGAACAAGGCTGAGGTTGAGGCCCAGGGACTCAGGGATGGACCATAAATACAAGTCATCCTGTATGCTTCTCTGTCCCTGGTGTCTGGATCCCTGTGGGACAGGCCTCCTCCCCTGCTTGGGTGCTCCTGCCCTGGATTAGAGACTTGGATTTATTAGGGGAAACACTTCTGGGCTGTCCCTCCCACCCCTAGGCAGCCTGGGGGAAGGGAGGGGAGGGGAGGGATGGAAGGAGGAGGTGAAGGGGAGGGAAAAGGTGGGAGGGAGAGGGAAAGGGAGTGGTCACACCCCAGCTGACTCCCTTACAGCAAGTCCCTTTACCACCGTGTGCCTCAATTTCCCTCTGTGTGATGAGACAGCTTCTGAGGGCTCCCTGAGTCTGCAGAGGGCATTGGGATTAGCTCACGAGGCTTTGATTTCCTTCCTCCCTCCCTCCCTCCCTCCCCCTCCCCCTCCCCCTTCCCCTCTCTCTTTCTCCCTTCCTTCCTTCCTTCCCTCCCTCCCTCCCCCCTCCCTCTTTCCCTCCCTTCCTTGCTTCCTTCCTTCCTTGCTTCCTTCCTTCCTTGCTTCCTTCCTTCCTTCCTTCCTTCCTTCCTTCCTTCCTTCCTTCCTTCCTTGCTTCCTTCCTTCCTTCCTTGCTTCCTTCCTTCCTTCCTTCCTTCCTTCCTTCCTTCCTTCCTTCCTTCCTTCCTTCCTTTCTTTCTTTCTTTCTTGTTTCTTCGGTCTTGGGTTTGAATTCAGGACTTGGGCGCTGTCCCTGAGCTTCTCTGTTCTCAGGGCTAGCACTCTACCACTTGAGCCACAGCACCACTTCAGTTTTATCTGTGCATGTGGTACTGAGGAATCGAACCCAGAGCTTCCTGCATGCCAGGCAAGCCGCTCTACCATTAAGCCCACATTCCCAGCCCCTGGTTTTATTTTCTGCGGCACTGCGGTAGACCCTGGGCCTTGGACACACTGAGCACTGGGCTTCGTGTCCACTTACAGCGTCCAGGCCTCGCCACCTGTCCATGCGTCAGCCTCATGGTGCGTGGCTGTGCCCCTGGGAGGCCTCCTCTGCCTCACTGACCTCTCAGTGCCCAGCCGGCCCCGTGTGCCTGGGTTCCAGGCCTCCGGGAATGGGCTGCTGGCTTCCGGCAGGGCTGGTGTGGAGGGTTCCTCTCCGCACAGCCTGTGGGCGCTGCTGGAGGGTGGTCCTGGCTAGGGAGGGGAGGCCGCTGTGGGCCCCTCCCCGTCTCTGAGATGGCCTGGACAGCGTGGTTTGGGATGGGTGACCTGGGTGACCTGGACTACTGCTCCTGCCAAGCCTCAGTGTCCCCCAGAGCCTGAGGGCTGCTGGACAGAGAGGTAAGGTGAGGGAGGACTCGGTCCACCCCTGCTGATGGCCTGACCAGGGAGTCTGGCTTGTCCTTTAGGAGGTGGCACTTTGTGAGGAGATTCAAACAATCAAGATACACACACACACACACACACACACACACACACACACACACACACACACACACACACACACACACACACACACACACACACACACACAGAGCCAGGCGCTGGTGGCTCACACCTGTCATCCTAGCTACTCGGGAGGCTGAGATCTGAGGATCATAGTTCAAAGCCAGCCCGGGCAGGAAAGTCCATGAGACTCTTTATCTCCAATGAACCACCAGAAAACCAGAAGTGGCGCTGTGGCTCAAGTGGTAAAAGTGCTCACCTGGAGCTGAAAAATTAAGGGATAGCACCCAGGCCCAGACCCTATCACCATCAAAAGTAAAAAATACAAGGGGATCTAGTAGACAATAGAAACACCCCAAACAGAGCCCAAGGGACCCAGCAGGGCCGGAGGACCTGCCATTGGCCGTGTGGTGGCCTCTGTGCTCTGGGACAGGGCCCGCAGCCCCAGGATGGCGCAGGCTAGCTCAATGTCATCCACTCTTGGCAGAGGCGCCTGGAGAGGCGGGCATGGGGCTTTGGAGGTGTGGCGGGGAGGGGTAGGGAAGGATGGGTCTGGCTGGCACTGTCCCAGGTTTGGTCACTCACTGCCTCTCCTGGCTGCCCAGGGCTCCAACCTCACGGACATCTGCACCCAGCTGCTCCTGCAGGGCACCTTGCTGAAAATCTCTGCGGGCAACATCCAGGAGCGAGCCTTCTTCCTCTTTGACAACCTCCTCGTCTACTGCAAGCGGAAATCCAGGTGATGAGGCGGGCGGGGGGGGGGGGGGTGGTGGTGGTGGTGGTGGGCTCATTGTTGTGATCTGGAGGTCAGGAGTCCTTAAATAGGACAGTATAGTTATCAAGAGAAGTAGTGTCATGAGGCCACATTAAAGGGAAGAACTGCTGCTCATCAAAAGACACCGTGAAGGGGGCAAAAAGGCACACAGACACTGGGAGAACCTTGGTAAGGCGCAGGGTGGCCTGGGTGCTGGCAGGGTGGTGGGTTGTTAGGCAAGCCTCCCCACCCCCAATTTTGTACGTTAAAAGTTGACTAGTGTGCAGCCACACCGTGCCACAGCCCTTCCTGTGTGATGTGGCTGCTCTAGGGCTACAGAACAGAGTTGAGAATCTTACTGACTCCATGTGGCCTGAGAAATGGGAAGTGTTCACTGGGTGAACCCACTACACTGTCAACAACAAAACAGACAACCAGCCATGGGTCAGGGACGGTCATTGGGAAAGAGACCCTGAGGGTTGGTGGACTCCAGGGGTGTTCATCAATGTGTGATGACTACCCCAGCCTGCCCCACGGTGGCCAAGAGAAAAAGGGTCCCAGGGCCGGAGGATGTGGGGACACTAGAATGTTCCTCCACTGCTGGCCCTGCTGCTGGAGACTGGGCAGTTCCTCCTGGGGCTGAGCTTGTGTGCCACTCATGACACAGGGGTCCCGCCCCAGGCTTCTAGTGCACCTCCCCTCCCCCAGGATGCGTGGCAGGAAGAGCGTGTTACTGCTGCACCCAGCCAGGTCCTCAACTCGTGGTCAGGTGGTTGAACAAGGAAGCCAGATGCTCACAGACTTGCTGTGACCTCAGTTGCTGGAAGTTCAGAAATAGCAAAGCAGAGAGGGCTGGGCATGGTGGTGCATGCCTGTAAACCCAACTGCTCAGGGGACAGAAATAGGATCGCCGTTGGAGGCCAGCCTGGCAAGATTTAGCAGGACCTCATCTCCACAAATAAGCTAGTGTGGTGGTCCAGCTACTTGGGAGGCAGAGGTCCAGAGAGGTCTGAGGCTGGTCTGGGCCAAAAAGGCCCTGTGAAAGCAGAGTGAGTGATGGCTCTGAGTTCAGTTCCCTGCGACCACCAACAAAGAGACCATGAAAAGTGAGGTGAATGTGGGATGAACGTGAGGGTGGCGTTGACCCTCCGTGGGGTAGCGGCCGGGGCTGCCTGGGGTGAAAAGCATTGACGCAGTTGTGTTCACTGTAAAAGTTAAGTGAACTGCATGCTTCTTTGGGCATTTTCTGTATGGATTTCTGCACAAACTGTGTGTGCGTGTGTGTGTGTGTGTGTGTGTGTGTGTGTAAGACACGCACAGATCGTCATTCTTCTCATCTCTGTAGCTGCAGCGTGCCCCACCGGTGTCCTGCATCCCCCGCTGCAGGGAATCTCCGAGCTGCACAGCTGGCCCTGCCCCCCCCCCCCCCCAGCCCGTGTCTCCAGCTCATCTCCACTTCCGCTTGGTGGGGGGGTCACCAGCCTCTCTGTCACCGTCCCCTGCAGGAATTGTGACTCCCCCCCCCCCCCCCCCCGTCTTTCAGAGTCACTGGGAGTAAGAAATCCACCAAAAGGACCAAATCCATCAATGGCTCCCTGTACATCTTCAGGGGTCGAATCAACACTGAAGTTATGGAGGTGGAGAACGTGGAAGATGGGACAGGTGGGCCCCGCTTGCTACCCACCAGCCTGGCCAGCCTGGCCTGGCCCGGCTCAGCACTGCCTTTGCTGGTTTTCACTCTTCCCCTTGGTTGATGAATGTAAAAAGCTACCCACAGAAAGGGACACCGGGTCTCACCCTCGAGCTGAGAAACAAAGCAGCATGCCTCGATTCTTCACAGACGTTGTCTCCTTCTCTCTGAAGGCACCAAGTCTGAAATGTGTGACAATCATTTTCTTGCTGCTTAGAAGTATTTATAGTCAGGCGCTGGTGGCTCATGCCTTGTAATCCTAGCTGTTCAGGAGGCTGAAATCTGAGGATGCTGTTTGAAGCCATCTTGGGCAGAAAAGTCTCCGAGACGTCATTTCCAAAATAACTAGCAAAAAGCTGGACTGGAGGTATGGCTAAACTGGTAGAACACCTACCTTGAGTAAACAAGCTAAGTGATTGCAAAACTCTAAATTCAAGTCGTCATACCAGCATAAAATAAGTGTTTTTTAAAACCTCTTAGATATTCCTTATTGAGCAATTAAAAATTTTCTAGTTTTGAACTTTACAGAGATACATGATTATGTACATTTAACTTTTCTTTTTTTTTTTGGTACTGGGGATCGAACCCAGGACGTTGCACTTGCTAGGTAAGCGCTTTGCCACTGAGCTACATCCCAGCCCGATTACGTACATTTAAATGGCTTTAAAAATGCACCTGGTTTTGTGCATGTAGGGTTTTCGGACAGTCAGAAAATGCTGTTTTCATTGTGTCACCTGCTGCTTCTGCTCCACACCTGGTGGGGTGGGTTTGTGCCTGTGCACGCGGCTCCCCAGGGCATACCACCTGTTGTGTGGCTGTTGCTCAATTCACCTGTTCTTTGGGTGGTGAGAACTGGGCTGTTTGTGCCATTCACTGCCATCTTGTGGCAGTTTCTAGTGCTCTTGGGCTCATTTTGAGTGGGGCTTCCACTTGGTGTGGAACCACAGACCTTTCAGTCCCACGACACCTGTGGGCCCAGATGTCCCTGCATAGAGCAGCTGTGCTGCAACAGGGCTGCCTGCTCCTGTCCAGCCACAGTGTAGAGTTGTCAGTACACTGAGGGCCGAAGGAATCTCAGGGCCCAGTGGATGGCGAGGAGGCCTCAGGCCTGTGTTGTTGAGAAGTTGAAAGTCTTTGGTTTGGTTTTTTGTGTTTGTGCTGGTCCTGGGGCTTGAACTCAGGGCGTGGGCACTGTCCTTGATCTTTTGTGCTTAAGGCTAGCGCTCTACCACTTTGAGCCATAGCTCCACTTCTGGTTTTCTGGTGGTTCATTGGAGGTAAGAGTCTCACAGACTTTCCTGCCCAGGCTGGCTTTGAACTGCGATCTTCAGATCTCAGCCGTCTGAGTAGCTAGGATGACAGGCGAGAGCCACCAGTGCTCAGCAAGTCAGGGATCTTTGTAGCAGTTCTTCCTTGAGTGTGGGAGCAAAACTAGGAGAGGGAGCATATGGAAGAGCTGAAAGTTCAACTCTCAAACCCTGCCTTGGCAGTGGCCCTCTCCCTCTCCCCCATGTTGGAGTGCCAGGCTGGGCCTGCCTGGCTCCCACCATGTTGTGGGTCCTTGGGGTCACGTGGGGTCACCTGGGGTCACATGGCCGCATCTGTACTGAGCCCCCTTTGCCTCCTGCCCCTGGCAGCCGATTACCACAGCAATGGCTACACCGTCACCAATGGCTGGAAGATCCACAACACCGCCAAGAACAAGTGGTTTGTCTGCATGGCCAAGACGGCGGAAGAGAAACAGAAGTGGCTGGACGCCATCATCCGGGAGCGGGAGCAGCGTGAGAGTGAGTGGGGCCTGGGCTGTGTGTCTCCCGCAGGCAGCGGGCTGGGCCTGGGGACAGGCCGGAGCTGTGGGAAGCAGGTGTGGGTGGGCAGGGAGCCCCGGGACTGTGCTGGCACTTGTGGTGCCCGAGAGGTGGCAGGTGGTGCAGCTCAGCCCAGACAGGTGATCACCCATGAGCCCTCGGGAATGCCCGCTTTCTCCTTTGACCGAGGTTTTCTCTGCTTACTGGTCACCGAATCGAAGCCTGGGGGGGGAGGGGCCTGCAGGGCTTCCATTAAGCCAGGGCAGGCGGGGACTGGGGGTGGGCTCTGAGCTCCTGTGCTGGGATTGCCGTGGTTGGGAGGAAGGGACGAGTCACGTTCGCTCCCAGGCCTCAGTGTCTCGTATGACAATGGGGACAGAAGGCTGCAGCTTTGGGCTTGGCCGTACTCGGGAATATCTCCCAGGACCCCCTGCATGTCCCAGTTTTAGAGGACTCCAGCTGGCTTCCTGCTGCGCATGTCTGGCTGGCCCGTGAGCCCAGCTTGCTTGCCAGCGCAGTTCTTCCCGTCCTTTACGCTGCCTGACCCGCTCCTTCCCTCGTTCCTCAGTGGCAGTGGGAATCCACAGGCCCCGTAAATTCTGCCTTGCACACCTGCTTCCCTCCTCTCCCTCCTCCCACCCACGTCCAAGTCACAGGCCCAGGAGGGGTCTGGCATGGCCCCCTCCTTGGGTACTTTTTCTAGAGAGCGTAGATACCTGGATCTTGTTGCATTAAAAATGTATTAAAAAGCTAAGTGATGGTGGTTGATGCCTGTCACCTTAGCTACTCAGGAGCTCTGAGGATCATGGTTCAAAGCTAGCTTATATAGGAAAGACTACAACGCTCTTAATTCTAACTAGCAAGCCAGAAGTGGAGCTGTGGCTCAAGTGGTAGAGCACCAGCCTTGAGTGAAAAAAAACCTAAGGGACCACACCCAGGCCCTGAGTTCAAGCCCAGGTTACGTGTACACACACTAAATTAAAATGTCTCCAGCCAAAGAAACTTGTAACCCTGGTAGGACAAGGTTAGGTCTGCCTGCTGGCACGGTCAGGATGGAGTGTAGGGACCCTGGCTGGACCAGGCTGGGCCATGTCTTTCTGGCTCGAATCCAGGCTGGGGTCAGCCCAGGCATGTGCAGTTGAGCTGGGGGTGGCGTGAAGGGGGCCTTGCCAGGAGGATTGTCTGGGGCTGGGTGCACAGGGATGGGTGTGGTTTGGAGCCTAGCTTTGGACTGGACCCAGGTGTCCCGAGCTCAGCTGGGCTGCACCGCTTTCAGCTCAGCAGCTTCTCGGTTTCCTTGTCTGGGCAGTGATCATGGTGCCTGTCATTCAGGTTTTGGTGAAGAGCATACTGAGCACAGTGGGTGCTGTGGAGGCGTTTTCTATGATAATGCTAATTGTCATTAGTACTGTTACTGTTACCGCCGAGGCCCGATGAGGTCTGTGTAGAAGCCTGGGCACCGCGTCTGGTGTCTTTCGGCCGCTGCCTCGGGTCAGACAGCCCTTCAGGTTGCTTGGGGTGGAGGCCGTGGAGGTGAAGCAGCCCGTGGCAGGGGTTCGGAGCAGTACCTGGAGACCCGACCGGTTCAGTGCCATGGTGCGGGCAGGCGGCTGCCCTGGTCCGCCCGGGTCCCGCGTCCTCTCTGTTGCTGACGCTGCCCCCTCACAGGCCTGAAGCTGGGCATGGAGCGCGATGCCTACGTCATGATCGCAGAGAAGGGGGAGAAGCTGTACCACATGATGAGCAAGAAGGTGAGCCTCATCAAGGACCGGCGGAGAAAGCTGAGCACCGTGCCCAAGTGCTTCCTCGGCAAGTGAGTGGCCCGCCCACCCCGGCCCTGCTCTCCGGCCGGAGCCCCCCCGCCCTGCGCAGCCCTGCGCACCGCAGTCCAGCCCTGCGCAGCCCTGCGCACCGCAGTCCAGCCCTACGCAGCCCTGCGCACCGCAGTCCAGCCCTGGGCCTCCCTCTCCGCCAGTCTCTCACAGTCTGGTGGGTCTCCATGCAGATCTAAGCCTGTTTGCCCCGACTCCTGCAGGACCTGCTTATCATTCATAACCCATCTATCTGTCTGTCTACCTGTCTGTGTCAGTCAGTGGGGGCTGTTACTGAGCTTTTTCTTTGCTCAAGACTAGTGCTCTACCACTTGAGCTGCAGCTCCATTTCTGGCGTTTTGGTGATCAGTTAGAGTAGGAGTCTCGTGGCCTTTCCTGTCCAGGCTGGCTTCAAACCTCAGTCCTCAGCCAGATTCAGCTTCCTGAGTAGCTAGGATTACAGTCATGAGCCATCAGTGCCCGGCTTAGAACCTGCTTTCTGTTGAGACCTGGTATACACGGTCACAGGGGTGTGTTGAAGCACGGCCTCATCCCACTGTGTGCCACCTGCAAATGTCCACTCCTGTCCTCTGGGCCTCCACCCACCCGCGCGGTCTGTCGCTGTCCTCTGGGCCTCCACCCTCGCGGTCTGTCGCTGTCCTCTGGGCCTCCACCCGTATGGTCTGGTCTGCCACTGTCCTCTGGGCCTCCACCCTCGCGGTCTGTCGCTGTCCTCTGGGCCTCCACCCGCGCGGTCCGTCGCTGTCCTCTGGGCCTCCACCCGCACGGTCTGCCGCTGTCCTCTGGGCCTGGCATGGGCCCTGTGAGGCTGGAGCGGCGTTGCTGCTGGGTTACCTGGCCGGGGAGGAGGAAGGTTCCGGACCATCTCATCAGCTAATCCCTAATCCTGGATGGAAAAGAAAGGAGGCTTTGCTCCCCGGAGTGGATTGTGTCCCCTTCCTGCTTCCTGCCCTGTGTGGGGCAGCGGATGGGGTGGCTGACCTCGGTAGCGGCGCTCGGCCCCTTCAGGAAGGATTGGGGCAATTGTTCTCACGCCCTGTTTGGATCTCAGCCAGCATTGTAGCTGGTTTTGTAACCAAGGGCTTGAAGGACCAGACTTCCCTCAGGAGACATCCCAGGAACACGCGTCTCCCTCCGCGGCTCTCTGCCCTGTCCTGCCAGGGTGCAGCTCTCATGCCCGCTGCCCCCCCCCCCCCCAGTGCCCTGTCCCCTCCACCCATGGTGTCCACGGCTGCAGAGACAGCTGACAGCCCCTCCCTTCCCCTCTGCTCCCAGCACAGCGCTCCACACAACCTTTAAGCCCCAAGGAAACTGAACCAGTCACACAGTCACAGCAGGGAGGGGCTGGGATTCGAACCCAGCACTGGCCGCTCCGCAGCCTGTGTTCTATTGCACCGCACTCTTCTCCATATCCATCTCTGCCCAGCGCGTGCTCATTCTCCCTCGGCTGTTGCTTTCCCCACGGTCCACATTATTTCCCTGTGGCGACTTCTCTGTGACCAGACACGAACTCCGTGAAGGCAGAAGTGTCCAATTTATTGTCCTTCCAGGGTGTAGAGAGTTGAGTCAGACTTGGGCTGGAGTCGTGGTTTCCCCACTTGCTGGCTGTGTGATGTTGCACAGGTCTGTAACTGCTCTGACGCTCAGTAAATGATCGCTAAAGGGGACCTCCAGGGCTCACTGAGATGGCGGTCACCACATCGTGTGCTCGGCGGGCGCTGCCAGCGAGATGGTGTGCGTGCCAGGCTGTGCCCCCAGGGAGTCTGTGCCCAGGTGTATTAAGAGGGTGTCTGTTAGAAAACTAACAGATGCCAGCGTTGACAGCAGGGCCACGATGATGAAGCCGGCTGCTGTGGGGACCCCCGGCAGAGGGGGGCGAGGACATGGATTCATTCACTCAGTGTCTACTGCCGGGTGCAGTCAAAGGCGGTCTCTGTCTGCAGAGAGACATCATCTCGTGGAAGAGTCAGACAGTAGACAAAAGGTTGAGTTACAGAAAGGAAGCAGTGGGTCAGTGAAGGTTGATCATGAGGGTGATGTAGGTAGAGGGGATGTAGGGGGCAGGGGTGTCACCTCCTCTCGGGGGACGTGATAGTTCATCTCAGATCTGAGCAACTTGCAAGAGCCAGCTATTGGAAGATGAGAGGAACAGCAGGTGCAGACATCCTGTGGCTGGAGTGAGCTGTGAACAAGGGAGGATCAGCGAGGAGGCCGAGCTGGCCAAGAGTTATGGAGGATGAAGTCCCAGGGTTAGTGGAGGCCAGCTGTAGGCCTGGTACAGACTCGGGTTTTATTTCAGATGCTCTAGAGAGGCACTGTGGTGGCGTGGGACGAGGGTGGAATTCACCTGCACAGAATGAGGACACCATTGGCTCCATCGGAGCTCTGGGGAGCTCTGTGGGGGGGCGGTCCAGGAAGTGGTTAGACATCATCCTGCTGATCCAGGCAGGCTGGAAGCCCCAAGCTGTGGGCCTGGCTGGCGTTCAGCCTGGCACACATGTGGACAAGGGGTGTGGTGGATGGACAATCAGTGGTCACTCCCAGGAAGCATCTCGGAGTGGGAGGGTCACAGGTACAAGGATCAGCCCTCAGCCTATCCAGACGCAGGCGGGAGGGCCGATGCCTGCGCTAGGGAGTGAGCAGCCATCAGGAGGTGTGCCCAGCCTTGGCCTTGACTTACAGTTGGCCAAGTAAGTGTCCAGTGGACCAGGGAGGAAAGTGGGGTGAAAGGCCACAGTGCTAACTCTCCAAAGAGGGCTCAACTCTCCAACTGAGTCTCAGCCCAGCCCCCAGCACCCTCTTCCTCCTCCTCCTCCTCCTCTTCCCCCTCCTCCCCCTCCTCCTCTTCCCCCTCCTCCCCCCCCCCTCCTCCTCCTCCTCCTCCTCCTCCTCCTCCTCCTCCTCCTCCTCCTCTTCCTCCTCCTCCTCCCCCTCCTCCCCCTCCTCCTCTTCCCCCTCCTCCCCCTCCTCCTCCTCCTCCCCCTCCTCCCCCTCCTCCTCTTCCCCCTCCTCCCCCTCCTCCTCCTCTTCCCCCTCCTCCCCCTCCTCCTCTTCCCCCTCCTCCCCCTCCTCCTCCTCCTCCCCCTCCTCCCCCCCCCCTCCTCCTCCTCCTCCTCCTCCTCCTCACTCTCTTCACCCAGCTTCTCACTCGCCCTGGTCTGACGCACCCTTCCCTGCATCCCCAGTGCTGGCCGACGGCGTGCCACTGGGCAGGGCCGTTGGAAGACACATTTCCTGGATCAGGTTTGAGCCCTCCACTCTCTGTGGCTGCAACGGGTAACGAGTTCTGGCTGACTCAGCACCGGGTCTGCCTGGCTGGCTTTGCCCATTTACAGCCGTCCCAGCTCCCTGGGTCAGAAAGGAGTTTTAGCTAGCTTAAGGTTTCATAGGCGAAAGTCTACCCAGTTACCTCTCACCAGCATGCCTGGAACCCTGGCTGCTTGGGAGGCTGAGATAGGGAGCATTGTGGTTCGAGTCCAGCCTGGGCATATAGGGGAGACCCCTTCTCAGCCAGTAGCTGGGTGTGGGCCTGTTCCTGTCATCCCAGCCAGTACAAGAAGTGCAAAATCAATGAATTTGGATGCAGGTGTGGGCCCAGGCCAAAAGCACAATGACCTGTGAAGGAATGTACTGGAAGCATGACTCAGTTCCTGCCAAGTACACACAAGGCCTTGAGTTCAAGCTCCAGTAACACACACACACACACACACACACACACAGCCACTAAATCAGAAGGCCCCTGACTGTACCATTTGGCAGGTGGATCCTGCTAAGGCCCAGAGAGGACCACCAGTGTGCCCAAGTTGGCCCAGCAAGCTGCAAGCCCGTACTGCATCACCCAGATGCTGGCAAGGCCCAGTTTAGGCTGGATCCTGGTGGTTGTGGCTTGTGGGCCGGCTGCCATGGGACACTTCCCATCCCCTTCCCCATTACAGGACTGCTGGTAGGACCAGAGGTGGCCCAAGGGGACATCCAGACGGCAGCTTTAATGCCAGGCGCCAGCTCCTTAGAGAGACGTCCTCTCCCGGACCCATTGGCAGCCTCTGCCCACCCCGAGTCTGGGCACTCAGAGGACGCTCCCGGGGCGGCCAGGCTCTGGGTGCTTCGCAGGACACGTGCCCTTCTTTTCACCCCCGTGGCCTCCAGCCTGGGCTTTGTGAGGGCCCCAGCGCACTCTACCTAATGCAGGCTGGGCCTTCCCTGCCAGCACTACAAAGCTAAAAATAACCTCTTCTCCCGCCTGCCCGCCCACCTGTAATTAGAGGTGGGACAGCTGGTTTGGATAAGCTGCAGAGGCACGCTGTGGCCCTGCTTGAGAAGCCCTCATTAGAGCTGGTCCTGGGGTCTGGGAGAACCCCTAATCTCTGACCGACAAGCACAGAAAAGCTGTTTTTCTTCCTCAGGCCTCAGTTTCCCTGTGGACTCCAGGACATCCCTTTTTCTTTTTTTCCTTTCTTGCTTTTTTTTTTTTTTGGGTTGGTTGTGGGGCTTGAACTCAGGGCCTGGGTGTTGTCCTTGAGTTCTTCAGCTCTACCACTTGAGCCACAGCGTCACTTTGGGCTTTCTGGTGGTTTATTGGAGATAAGAGTCTCATGGACTTTGCTGCCCGGGCTGGCTTTGACCCGCCATCCTCAGATCTCAGCCTCCTGAGTAGCGAGGATGACAGGCGTGAACCACCGGCGCCCTGCAAGGACAACCCTTTTCATTCCCTAGCCTGTTTATTCCTCCGTTGGTTCAGACAGTATGGTTGGGGGTCCCTGTCTCTTTTGCTGGGGCCTTCTCCCTCTTCCAGGGGCCGGCATAGAGCAGGAAACAAACATAACTCCTCTGTCTCTACCCACACGGAGATTCTGCTCTGGCTAGGGAAGTGCGAGGTAAACACGAGAAACCTTATAAGCAGGGTACCTCCAGAACTGAAGGAAGCCCACCAGGGCTGGGCAGCGCGTTGGTGGGGTGGGCGGGGGCTGCACCTGTGAGGAGGGGTCACGTGCTGAGACCTTGAGGATGAAGAGTGGGGGAAGGACATTTCCAGGCCAGTGTAGGCCCTGGGGCAGGAAGGAGTCTGGAATGGCTTAAGGTGGGCAGGGCTGAGGCACAGTGTGGGGGTGTAGCGATGACAGCAGGGAGGTGGGAGATGGCAGGGCCTCCTCGCGTGGGCAGAGATGAGATCTGGGAGGTGGGGGCCGTCAGAGTGTTTGAGCATGGGAATTAACACGATTTGATCACCATTAGCTTTCCTGACTCTGTGCTCCTTTGGGCCTACTATGATTTCTTCCTGTTTATCTCTGTACTCATGTGCTTGGCCATCTGCCCATCGACTCATCCATCTATCCATTATCCTTCTGTCCAGTTAGCTGCTTGCTTGTCTTGCTCATCGTGCCTTCTTCCTCTATTATCCATCCACTGTCTGTCCAGCCATCTTCCATTCAGTGTATATCCACCCACTCACCGCTCCATCTACCCACCATCCATCCATCCACCATCCATCCATCATCCTCCCAATGTATATCCACCCATTCACCCCTCCATCTACCCACCATCCATCCATCCACCATCCATCCATCATCCTCCCAATGTATATCCACCCACTCACCCCTCCATCTACCCACCATCCATCCATCCACCATCCATCCATTATCCTCCCAGTGTATATCCACCCACTCACCCCTCCATCTACCCACCATCCATCCATCCACTACCCTCCATTCAGTGTATATCCGCCCACTCATCCATTCATCCACTATCCATCTACTATCTCCCATTCAATGTATATTCATCCACTCACCCATCCATCTACCTACCATCTGTCCATCCACTGTCCAACCATCCTCCAGTATATATCCACCCACTCACCCCTCCATCTACCCACCATCCATCCATCACTACCCTCCATTCAATGTTTATTCACCCACTCACCCATCCACCTACTTACCATCTGTCCATCCACTGTCATTCCAACCATTTTCCATTCAGTGTAGATCCACCTTCTCGCCCATCTATCTACCCACCATGCATTCATCCACTATCCATCCACTATCTTCCCAGTGTATATCCACCCACTCACCCGTCCATCTGCCTACCACCCATCCATCCATCCATCCATCCATCCATCCATCCACCCACTATCCATCTGCTATCTATCTAGCCATCCACCATCCATCTAGCCATCCACCATTCATATGTTCATCTATCCACGCACTTGTCCACCATCCATCCACCCACATACCCATCTGTCTGCCCTCCCTTTTAACCTCCCTCCCTCCCTTCCCTATCCATCCACCTGTCCATCTACTCATCCAGCCGTTCTTATTAATGCACCATCAGTCTATTGGCAGATGCGTCCACTTTCCCCATGAGGGAAGACAGACCCAAGGCGTCTCTGCAGGCTGTGGGGACCTCTGCTTCCTGGCCTGTGGGGAGGTCTGGCAGCCATTCCCCCATGTGGATGGGACTGGCCAGGCGGCCATTCCCCCGTGTGGATGGGGCTGGCCAGGCCAAGTCCTTTCAATGGCATCTTCTGTTTCTGGCAGTGAGTTTGTTGCCTGGCTCCTGGAAATCGGTGAAATCAGCAAGACAGAAGAAGGGGTCAACTTGGGCCAAGCCCTGTTGGAGAATGGTATTATCCACCATGGTGAGTGGGGGGCTGGTGCAGCGGAGGGGAGCCGCTCAGACCCTGGCAGGCATTCCCAAGCTTCCATGCAGCTTCCTGTCCCCTGGCAGAGTGCCCACCACCCTCCCATGTCTGCCCTGGCAGACAAGAAGCAGCCTTTCTCTAGTGCCTGCACAGCAAGGACCCCTTAGAAAGTTGGGGGTCGGGAGCAGAATTTTCTGTGTGATGTTTTGAGACAGGAAAGAAGCCATTGTTCAGGGTTTGGTCATGTGGTGACATTTATTAAGTGCCTATTATGTGGACGCGGTGTTCATGTGGCGCTGGGCAGGACGGGAGGGGCTTGCCGCGGCTGGGGTAGGGGAGATGGGCGCAGAAGGTGTCTGTGTGGGTCTGGTCGAGGCGGGGAGGGTGGCAGAGGACAGTGGGGTCTCAGGAGGGTCCGAGGAAGCAGTGAGCACTGGGTGGTAGCGGACCAGGTGGGCACACAGTTCCATGAGGAGCCCAGCTCCGGGGGCCCAGGAAGACTCCAAGTTAGCTCTCCAGGGACTGGCATGCAGGCCAGCAGGCTGCCTCCCCCTGCGGGAACAGGGGTGAGGTCAGAGGGCACAGAACTGAGTGGGGCTAGAGGGTGAAGTTAGCACAAAACCTATGGGGAAGCCTAGAGCCTGAGGTCAGAGGGCACAGGTAGGTCTGGGGGGAAGGTCAGAGGGCGCAGGACTTACAGAGGATGGTGGGGGCCTTGCTTGTGAGATTTGGCACAGAGGAAGGCCCTGCTGGCTGCCGGGCAGAGCCTGCTAGGCCCAGGGGACAGCAGGGACTACAAGGGGGCAGTGGGGGCTGGGGACAGGGTGCAGGGTGGAGCCTCACGGGATTGGCCGATACTGGAGCACTGGCTGGGTGGGGCAGAGAGGAAGTCCCGCCTCACTCCTCCCATTCCCCACCCACCCAGTGTCCGACAAGCACCAGTTCAAGAACGAGCAGGTGATGTACCGCTTCCGCTACGACGACGGCACCTACAAGGCCCGCAGTGAGCTGGAGGACGTCATGTCCAAGGTAATCAACCTCCGACCCCTGACCCCATAGAGGGCACTCCGCGCGGGGGCCCGTGCCCGCAGCCTGCCGCTCCCTCACTCCCCCGTCTCCTTCCAGGGTGTCAGGCTCTACTGCCGTCTTCACAGCCTCTACACCCCGGTGGTCAAGTGAGTCCCCGCGTCGTCCTGTCTTCTCATGCTGCCACGGCTGCGGCTGGCAGCCAAGCCCAGGCCCTGCCCGCGTCTCCTGGGGTTCAGTGATGATGTCTGCCCCGTGGGGTCCCCAGGAGGCTGTGAGAGGGTTTCAGAGAAGCAGAAACCAGTGCAGGTGGCTGTGAAGGGAGGCTCGGCCCCCTCCCCCACGGGGTCACGCCAGGCCACCCCTTGGGTGCTCGTCTGTGTGTGTCTGGGCTCTGCCCCCGACCCCTTCCCCTCACTTTCTCTCTGGGGTCTCGCTGTTCAGCGGCGCATCTGCATCTGTGTCCTTGCATGTGATGATTCCCTTTTATTGGTGGAGCGTAAAAGAGGCCGCACATGGAGAGGCCAGGCGTAGGGCAGCGTGGCCCTGGGTACGTGTGTGTGGCGTGACTGGTGGAAGGCGGGCCCGTCTTGCCAGTGTGCCTCCGTGAAGCCAGGGCCCCTTCCCTTCGATCTCTTCACCACGGAGCTTAGAGTGGCGCAGGAAGGGACAGACAGGGCGACCCCCATCTCACCCAGGCGCAGCTCTGTCCACCCTATTCTCAGGGTCATGCCCTTTTGCAGAGGCTGAGGAGGACTCAGGGGAGGACTCATTCTGTATTGCTGCCCACGGAACCCAGGCCCTCCCTCCCGTGCCAGCCCCAACACTTGCTGCCACACTTTGCCAGCGGCAGGAAGAAGCAGTGGGCGGGCATCATGTGTACCCCGATTTGCAGCCTCAGTGCGTCCCCACAAGTCTTCCTCCAGCTCCTTCCTCAGCCTCTGACCTCCTGCTTGGCAGAGAGCTCTGTGGTTTGGCCCTGCAGGGAGCCCGGGACTCCCTTCCCCCGGCCGGCTTTCTGCTGGGGTCTCATGCCTGTGCCCATGCCAGCCTGAGGGAGGCCGCCCCTTCGGCTAGCATAAACTGGCCAGCGAGGCCTGCATGCACCGCTCACCTCTGCTCAGGGACAGAGTGCCCTTGCCTTCTCGCTGTCCACATTCGGTCAGCTGGGTCCTGCTGTGGGTCATCCGGGCACGGTGGGCAGCCTGTACTGCATCACCCTGGGTTCCACAGCCCCAGCGTCTCCAGACAGCCATGCCCTCGGGCGAGAGAGACTCGAGAGCCCGAGGCCGATCATACTGTGGGTCAGGAGGGGTCCAGGCTGGCACTTGCTTCCCTCTGCTCCTCTTCACCCCTACACGAGGTCCCAGAACCCAGGGCGGCCCCTCATCCATCCCCTGTTCACCTGCTGCCTCGCCCACAGGGACCGCGACCACCACCTGAAGACCTACAAGTCTGTGCTTCCGGGCAGCAAGCTGGTGGACTGGCTATTGGCACAGGTGAGCATGCGCCGGCCCCTGGCTCCCTGGGACTTCCTCGGGCTTTAAAAAAGTCCTCTTTTTTTCCCCCTTTGTGGCCAGTTCTGGGACTTGAGCTCTAGACCTGTGTACTGCGCTTTTTGTTTTTTGTTTTTTTCTTTTCACTCGAGGCTAGTGCTCTACCACTTGAGCCACAGCTCCACTTTTGGCTTTTTGGTGGTTTAACAGAGATAAGAATCTCATGGATTTTCCTGCCCTGGCTTTCTTTGGACCAGGATTCTTAGATCACAGCCTTTTGAGTAGCTAGGATTACAGGTATGAGCCACTGGTTCTTGGCTCCTCTCATTTTTTTTAAATTGTGGCAAAATACATATCAGATCTTCATCCTTGGTAAACATAGTTCATCACATTCATGGCTTTGTGCAGTTTCTACCTCCGTGCACAGAGGTCTGAGTCTTACCTGAGATGAACTCAGCTCCTCGATAGGAAAGGGCTGGTCCTGCCTCCCACCCTCCGTCTCTATCCTGCAGGCAGAACTACAGTCTCCCCTTTCCTGATGTTCATTTCACGGAGCAGGCGTCCAAGGTCCCTGCTTTCCCTGGATGTGTCCTGGGCCCTTTGAGAACAGAACCGGGCCTCCTCTGTCCCGGGGGCTGGGGTCCAGGTGTCGGCAGGCTCAGGGTTGGGTGGGGCTGGCTCTGCTTTGGCTGTGAACTCTGGCGTGGAGGGGTTGGCCTCCCCCTGCCAGTCCCTTGGTCGTGACGCCATCATTTCCTGAAAGCCACCCCTCTGCAGGCTGCCGCCTGGAGGACGGTGTTTCAGGGACCAGCGATCTGTGAATGCCCTGCCTTGTCACTGCCCAGGGCTGGCCCCGGCAGCAGGTGGAGGCCATGCCCACACTCTGCTCACCCATTGGTGGACTCTTCCTCCCCTCCCCCCGCACCCCATGTTGGGCTTTCAATTTAAACCTGGGCAAGCCGGTCCATTCTGGCTCCCATCTGGAGCATTTGCGTGGTGCTTGCTTCATGGATAGGGGCTCCCCAAGGCCCACCAAGCCGCCTTCCCTGCCTCTCCTCCTCCTGTTAACACACTGCTTCCACTCTTGGGTCCTGGAGGGATTTGTACCTCATCTTACTCAGTCTTCTAGCCGCTGCAGTTGGGGGACCAGGACCCAGAGAGGCCAAGTGGGCAGGGAGCTCTTCTGTGTCGACCGCAACCCCCCCCCCCCCCCCCCCCCGCTAGCTATCCAGTTGAGCAGTTCTAGAAACTTCATCCCATTCAGATCAGCTGGCTGGCTGGATTTTTCTCACATTGCACAAATTACTAGCAATTGCTAAGAAATCACAGCCAATCTGTGAAGTCAATTTTCCTGGGTGCTAAGTAACTTCAAAAGTTTAGGAAAATCCTTGAAAAAGAATTGGAACTGAGCAAGTGTATTTCCTGTGTGCTGTGTACGTCGATGCTTGCCGTGAAGCACGAGCCCGCGCCTGAGGGGTCCCGGCAGGCTCTGGATTCGAACTTGGCATTGCAGGAAGTGTGGAGTTCTAAACCCCTTGCTGCCTCGGGGTGGTGACTTGCCTCCACCCACTCTGCTATCCCTCCATTCCTCCTGCCTCAGTTTCCCAACCTGTAAAATCAAGCTCAAACTACTGTCAACATCTCCTCCTTCAGTGGCTTCAGAGCTCTGTGGGGAGGTTGAGGGAGAGACTGCAGGGCCAAGCATGTCCTTCAGGGAGCACCTGCCACCTGCCACTGTCACTGGTACTGGCAGGATGCGGCCAGCTTCCTCCTCAGGGCCTGTCACTGGGACTCCGGCACACCCTGCTGCCGGTGCTGCCTGGCTCCTTTGTGGATAGTGGGCTTGAGCCCTGCCTGTGAGAAGCCCAGCGGGGACCCATGCTGGCTCGGCCTCCCAGATTGAGAACTGGGTCTGCAGCCCCTGGGCCAGGTGTGGCCCTCAGAGCCGCGGACAGCTGCATACGGTGGGCCGGCCTTTCTCCCAGTGCCTGCCTGGCCTGGCTCTGAGCCCGCCACCCTCCCTTACCCACTTGGATCCAGGAGCTGCCTGTCTGATTATAGGCGTGAGCTACCAGTGCCCGGCCTTTTTTTTTTTTTTTTCTTGAGAGTACCGGGGTTTGACCCAGAGCCTCTCATTTGTCTAGCATGCTTACTTGATGGTTGGTTGGCACTCTAGCAATTGTGCCATACCTCTAGCCTAGCTTTATATAGGTTATTTTATTTTTGTGCTGGTCCTGTGGCTTGAACTCTGGACCTGGGCGCTGTCCCTGAGCTTTTGTGCTCAAGGCTCACACACTACCATTATGAGCCATAGTTCCACCTCCAGCTTTTTGCCATCTAATTGGAGATAAAGAGTCTCATAGGCTTTCCTGCCCAGTCTGGCTTTGAACCGTGATCCTCAGATCTCACCCTCCCAAGTCTCTAGGATGACAGGTGTGAGCCATTGCACCCTATTCTGCTGTTTAGAGATGGATTCCCATGGTCTTTTCTGCGTAGGCTGGTTTTTCTAACCACAGCCTTCCAGATAGCCTTCTGAGTTACAAGGATTTCAAGCATGAGCCACTGGGACCTGGCTAAAATCTCTACTTTTTCTTGGGCTTTGTGGTTCACATTTGTCATCCAAATTTGGGGATTGAGGCTCAGTGGTAGGGCAGTGGCCTAGTGTACACGAGACCCCAGATCTAGCCAGGGTGGGCCAGATCTAGCCAGTGCCCCCTGCACTCTGGGAAAGCAGCCTTGTTGTGGTCTCTCAGGAAGAATCACAGACACGTCTGTCAGGTGTCCATTGCGTTCTGGGCACAGGTGCCCACCCTCAGCGGCTTGATGCCAGCCTACCTAACGTCGCCTCTTCTATCTGTTCCAGGGGGACTGCCAGACGCGGGAGGAAGCGGTGGCACTCGGCGTGGGCCTGTGTAACAACGGCTTCATGCACCATGGTAATCCTTGCCTTCAGCCCAGGGGCCTAGGGCCTAGAGCATTCCTCAGGACCTTTACCTTGGCACTTTTCCCTCTACCTGAGCCCTTTGGATCATTCGGTGTGTCTCCCTGATGCCTTGCGCGCATCTCTTGTGTCCCTCCCTCTGTGGCTTTTCCCAGCAGGGACTTGCTTTTCTCAGAGCCATGTGCTCCGGCTGGCCAGACCCCGCCTGTCCTTCCGGTCTGCTGTGCTGTTCTCTGCTTGGTGTCCAGTGCGTGCCAGGCACAGTGCTGGGCAGTGGGGCAGTGGTGACACGCCACTCACTGCCTCTGTGTGCGTGTGCCGGTGTGTGCACCTGTGTGTGCGGCGTGTGCACGTGCACACATGTGCCATGTCTTCCACGGTGTTGAAGGTTGGGGGAGAACTTCCCTGCTGAGCCGTGGGGTCTCCCAGGAGGCCTGGGCACCGAGGTCCCAGCTGACTGGGGTTGACACCACTGTCTCTGGCTCTCTGGCAGCAGCTGGTGGCTGGGGGAGTGAGCAGGGACTGGGAGGAGGTACGGGCATGAGTCTAGGGGAGAGTGACATGGCTTGGCCTAGGTGCCACTGAAAGGGCGTAATTGGTGCTCACACAGGAGACCGAGCTGGGATGGTCTCAGGGCCACAACTCTGGTCTCTGCTGTTTGGGTCTAACTCAGGTGGGTGAAGTGGCTTGTTAAAGGCTGGACAGGAAGCACACAGACCTGCGTGGCCTCTGCCACCTCTGCTCTCCTCTAGCTTCCAGCTACAGACAGCCCGGAAACAGTAAAACTTTATTTACAAAACAGATGTGGGACATAGTGTTCTGACCCCTGGTCTTCCTGCCTTGTAAGCCGCAGGTTGGGGGCCAGGCGTGCTCTTGCTGACTCTCACTGGGTGTGTACTCCTTTGGGCCTCGGTTTCCCCTGGGAGACCTTCCTTGAACTGGCAAGTCCGTGGTTCTGTGGGGTCAGAAGTCCCTCCCTCCTGCCACCATGTCCCCAGCAGATGTAGACGGGCCAGGCTCACCAAACCCTTCATTCCCAGAAGCCCCGGGGCCTGCAAGCCCCATCCTCCACCCGTCAGCTGGCAGAACCCCTCATTTGTGGGTAAGGGTAATTAGGGGTCTGTCCCAGCTGCTGTTCTGGGAAGGCCGCTGTCTGAGGACATGCCGGGGCGGGGGTGGGGAGGGTGGGAGGGAGAGAGATTCGGGGGACAGCCTTGATGACTTCAGGGTCCCTGGGGGGAGTAGGATGCGGCTGTCCCCTGCTCTGCCACAAACTCAAAAGCAGACTAAAATAGGAAAGGGCTGGGGCCCCTCGGGTGTGGCCGCGGTGATGGCAGGGCCAGGCTGTGTGGCTGCGTGGTCACGGCCCCCTCTGCCACGTCCAAACTGGCCTGTGGGCCCTAACGTGCCAGGGAGGAGCCCTCAAGGCTGGTGGTGCCCAACACAGGGACACTGAGCCACGTCATGTCACCCTGACCCTACGGTGCCTATAGATGGCTTAGAGAGGCCAGAGGAGAGGCTGAGTGTCGTAGGGGCCAGGGCAGGGATTTGAACCCACATCTGTATATACCAAGCCCAACTGGCCTGGTGAGAGGGACACCGGGGCTACTGGCTGAGCCGGCAGCACAACCTGAACAACCTCAGCCCCGCAGACATCTCCGCAGAGACCAACACTGCACCCCCTGCGCCTTCCAGAATCTTTTTTTTTCTTTTTCTTTTATTTGTCTGCTGTGGGCCTTGAACTCTGGGCCTGGGCACTATCCCTCAGCTCTTCAGCGCTCTACCACTTGAGCCACAGCGCCACTTCCGGTTTTCTGGGGGTTCATTGGAGATAAGAGTCTCATGGACTTTCCTTCCTCTGGCTGGCTTTGAACTTCCATCCTCAGATTTCAACCTCCTGAGTAGTTAGGATTATAGGCGAGAGCCACTAGCGTCCGGCTCCGGAACCTTCTTACTTCCTGATCATAGCGGAGGCAAAGCAAGTTCCCCCTCTGCCCTTGTCTCCTCTCCACTCCCCAGCCCCAGAGAAAGTAGCAATTTACATGTCTGATGTCTCCAAGAGGTAATGGAGGGCTGGGACAGGCAGTGTGCCAGGAGCTCTCCTGTGATGGAGGAGGAGGAGGAGATGCCTTCTGTGCCTTGCATTTAGCCATGAGTTAGGACGGAGCCTCAGCCGCGGGGCCACTGGTGTCTCGTGGCTCAGGCTGAGGTAGGGGTTCTCTCTTTGCAGAGCTACCCACCTGAGGCAGGTACCTGCGCCTCATTGAGCCTTGCTGTCTCCCTTTCATGTATTGCTTTTATAACGGGGGAGCATGGGGAGAGATGCTGGGGTGAGGGTTGTTCTGGCACCTGTAGGCTCTGTGACCCTGGGCAGTTCACTTAGCTTCTCTGTTCTCTGTAAAAGGAGTACAAAGGAAGCTAAGCGCATGGCCATCATGTGCCCGGCCTCAGAGACCACACTCCACAGCAGCGATGTGGGCCGTCTCCCGGCTTGTGCCCAGGCTGGGTAGTACACAGGGCCAAGCTATGCAGATTTAGGCTTTCTGGGTCCTGCATTCACTGTGACAATGATCCAATTTTTGGTAGCCACAGTGATTGGTTAAAAAAAGCACGGCTGTTTGCAACCAATCTTTATTCCTAAGGATACGTAGTGGCTGGGTTTGGCGTGTGGAGTCTTCAGTCCCAGGCTGAAGAATCTCAAGGCTTGCTTCCGATCACTAGGGTGCTGTGTTTCCAGCTGCACATGGCTGGCCTCTTGCTGGTTTCCTAGCCTGCTGGTTACTTGTGTATATTCAGATTTCTGAGCCTTTCCTGGTCGATTTGTTAGGTTTTCTGTCTTGATTTTATTTCTTTGTTGTGTGCCAGTCCTGGGGCTTAAACTCAAGACCTGGGCACTCTCTCTGAGCTTTTTCACTCAATGCTAGTATCCCAACCTTTGAACCCAGCTCCACTTCTGGCTTTTTGGTGATTCATCAGAGATACGAGTCTCATGGACTTTCCTGCTCAATCTGGCTTTGAACTGTGATCCTTAGATCTCAGCCTCCTGAGGAGCCAGGATAACAGATTTACTGACCAGAGCCTGGCTTGATTTGTTAGTTTTAATGTATTCTACATACTTAACCTGTCACTGGATGTGGACACTTCAGGAGTCTTCGAACCCACTTCCTACCTGTGGGGTCGTGGCTGGCTGAAGGTCTTAACGCCCCATAGTGCTTTTTGGGCTCCTGCGTGTGGACTTGGGTTCTACCCGAGGACAGAGAGTGGATCCTACGTTAGCTGTAGCCTGGCTGCTGATATGTGAGTCTTTAAGTGAAATACAGTGTGAGGTAGGGATCTGCTTCTATTTTTTTTCTCTCCAACACGTCAAATGTTCTCAAATTCCTGTACTCATTGTGGCTTCTGGGCGACCCGTGCTGACCTGCTGCCGCCATCCCTCGCTCCTTTGGCTTTACAACGTGTCTTTACAGCAGCCGGGACAAGTTTAGAATTTTCTAGAGAAGTCAGAAAGCCAGATCCGCCTGTGAAATAGCCTAATATGTTAGTGTTGGCCCACAATTCCACCTCTGTTCAATACCACCTTGGCCAAACCAAACTTGTACAGGGCATGGCTCCCGCCTGTGGCTGCCGGCGTTGCCCACGGCTGCTGAGCCCTGGCCGCACGAGTCTGACCATGTGCCCTGCCTGTGCCTCTGTGCCCGCAGTGCTGGAGAAGAGCGAGTTCAAGGACGAGCCACAGTACTTCCGCTTCCACGCCGATGAGGAGATGGAGGGGACCGGCAGCAGGAACAAACTGCTTCGCAATGACTTCAAGCTGTTGGAGAACATTCTGGCCAAGCGGCTGCTGGTAGGAGCAGGGCTGAGCTGGCACCCTCTTCCTCCAGACCCCCCTGGGCGCAGCCTTCGGCTGCCTGCAGATCCTGGCCGGGCAGGGCACTCAGCAGGGTGCTGTCTGGTGGACTAGGGGTTCAGGACGCCCAGCTGTGTACTGGGGGGAGGAGGCAGGCTGGAGCCCAGAGCTGTAGTTCTTAGCGACCAGCGAGCGTCCTGCCCACATTTAGTTGCTGTCATAGTCCATGAAATTCAAAGCAGCATTTGCCAACCTGATCAGACACTGCCGGCACTCAGTGGATTTTTTGGGAGGAGGAGGAGGGAGTTGGTGGTGGCTTGAACTCAGGACCTGGGTGCTGTCCTGGAGCCTCCTTGTGCTCAAGGCTAACATTACCACTTGAGCCACAGCTCCACTTCCAGTTTTTGAGTGGTTAATTTGAGATGAGGCTCATGGGGACTTTTCTGCCCAGGCCAGCTTCAAACTGGGGTCCTTAGATCTCAGCCTCCTGAGTAGCTGGGATTACAAGTGTAAGCCACTGGTGCCCGGCTTTCAGTGGATGTTTTCTGAGCTCCTGTATTTCCATCAAAACCCTCAAACCTGACACTCTGCCACCCTGCCCTGTGAAGGGGCTGCGTGCCTCAGGTTCCCTTCCTACCCCAAGTTGTTGGTGGCAGGGTACTTTGGGGTTTATTGAGCAGCTGTGGTATGCTCGATGCCGGAGCCCGGTGTGGAGGAGGGCTGTGCTCAGGCTGGCAGGCGGGAGGGCACCCACCCCTGGCTGTGGTGGTTCCTCATTTGATAGATACGCATCGCTTACCTACTCTGTGCCAGGCAGCACTCTGGTTTTCCTCCATCTTGCCGGCCCATCTGTGGCTGCTGCCCTGCAGGCTGCAGCCTGCACCCCTACCTACAGACCTGGGACGTGGGGAGCCGCGGGGCCAGTCCTGTGGGGTCCAGGCGTGTCTGCCCTTGGCGCCTCCCACATTTGGTGGGTCTTTTGCCTGGGGTCCTCAGATCCTGCCCCAGGAGGAGGACTATGGCTTTGACATCGAGGAGAAGAACAAGGCTGTGGTGGTGAAGTCGGTGCAGAGGGGCTCCCTGGCTGAGGTGAGGCCCAGAAGGCGTCCCGGGGATGGGAGTGGGGCACAGGGGGCACAAGGGTGGACACTGCTATGCCTTCCTCCCTTTCCTGGGGTCGGGGTCAAAGCCCATGTCTATGGAAGCTGATCTGGGATGGAGCAGGTGCTCAGGATGGTCCTGGTGTGCCCCCTGGTGCCCCCTGCTGGACCATGCCTGGAAGCGCAGGAAAGGTTTTTTAGGCTGGGATGCTAGAAGAGCCTTCCCTGGCTGGGGATCAGTGGTTTGTCCATTGCTTCTTAGGGTGTGGTGGGGGGAGGGTCTGTAGTGAGACATTTGCTCACTGTGTCATGGAGGATCCGAGTGCTGTGAGCCGCACACTCACCTTGTTCCCAGCGCTGCAGGAGGTGGCCCCGAGTCCTGGTTCCGGTCAGCCTGTCGGCTCCTGTCCTGGCTGGGTGTCCGTGGTCACCCCCCCTGGTGGCCACCGCAGTATGGCCAGCACCATCAGTGTCCCAGTCAGCCGACAGCCACCCCCCCTTCAGTGCCCCCTTTGCAGCTTGTCATCCAGAGTCAGGGCTGGGGACTCCTCACCCCAGGGGACTCTCCAGTCCTGCTGGATTGCAGGGGCCACGCCGTTTCTAGAACATTCTGGGTTCCTTAGTGAGGAGGAAGGAGGTCAGTAACCCCTGTGCTTATGCTCTCACCCCCTCCCACCAAGATGGCCGGTCTGCAGGCAGGCAGGAAGATCTACTCCATCAACGAGGACCTCGTGTTCCTGCGTCCCTTCTCGGAGGTGGAGACCATCCTGAACCAGTCTTTCTGCTCCCGCCGCCCGCTGCGCCTGCTGGTGGCCACCAAGGCCAAAGAGTGAGTCCCCTGGGCCCGGCCTGGGGCTGCGCAGCGGTGTTTCTCTTCGTGCCGGGAGTGGAGGCCTCGGAGGCGGGGACTCCGCAGCTGGTCCTCACGCCCAGGGGAGCTGTGGCTCTCCCTTACGATCTCTCTTGGCTTCCACACAGGACCATCAAAGTCCCCGACCACCCAGAGGCCCTGAGCTTCCAGATCCGAGGGGCCTCCCCACCCTGTGTCTATGCAGTGGGCAGAGGTGAGCGGGAACTGCGGGGCTGAGGGTGGCTTTGGGCCCCGGGCCGTCTGGGCGGTGGAGCTCAGAGTCCTCCAGAGCTGCGACACCGCCACTGCAGGCCAGCACCCTGTGAGCACTCATTTTCTAAAGGCAGCTCTCAGGTGGGCAGAGGGACCCGAGAGGAGGACAAGGAGAGGTGAAGGACGCAGTGCTTCACCCCACAGGGGTGGTGGTTCTCAGCCAGGACAGGGAGCCCACACCTGCTTCCTAAGAAAAGCCAGAAATGCACCTTTTCCGGCCTGTGCGTGGCCTGATCGAGCCCAGGGCCACCAGCAGAGGTCTTGTGTTCTGGACTGCCTTCCCCTGCACTCTGCCTTTGGAGAGCCAGCCCTCCCACCCCCTGCAGGTCCTCTTTGTAAAGCTTATGCACTCATTGTTTGCTTTTGTGGTAAGAGGATGAAGGCAGATGAAAATCTGGGAGTACTTTAGGGTGGATCTAGGATGGCCCAGGAACATGCAGGCTCCCTGAGCCCCAGTGTCTCCTGCAGGGAGAGAGACTCCGGCCTGGACCAGCCCTGAGTGGGGGAGCTGGTGGCAGTGCGGGCTGGGGTGTGCATTTGGGGTGGGGCTGGCGTCTGTCCATCGTTGCCTGTGCTCCTACCCCAGGTTCCCCGTCCCTGGCCGCAGGGCTCTGCGCCGGCCAGTGCGTCCTGAAGGTCGACGGCAGCAGCGTGGCGAGCGGGGGTGCCCTGGAGGTCCTGGAGCACTTCCAGGCCTTCCGCAGCCGGCGGGAAGAGGCCCTGGTGAGCCGGCAGCCCAGGTGGAGGGCCGCGCTCCCCTTCCGGGGGGGGGGGGGGGGGATGACTGGGACTGCATGTTATAACTGTAGAGCACCGTGGGTGATGTCCGGTGGGGCGATGGTTGAGTTGTGGGGCGTGTCCTTGGTGTTGGGGGCCAGGGGCAGGGCCAGGAGGTAGCTGCTCAGCAGCTCCATCGGTGGCGCCCAGCTGCTGTTGATGGACCACCTGCTGCCTGCCCTGGGCCTGGGCGCTGTCCCTCAGCTCTTCAGCTCAAGGCGCGGGCTCTGCCACTTGAGCCACAGCGCCACTTCCAGTTTTTTGGTGGTTTATTAGAGATTAAGTCTTATCGGGACTTTCCTGCCCAGGCTGGTTTTGAACTGCGACCCTCAGATCTCAGCCTCCTGAGTAGCTAGGATGACAGGCGTGAGCCATGGTGCCTCGGCCTTGGCTGACATTGCTCTCCCTTGGCATCTGTGTAGAGCACAGAACAGCCACGCCGTGACCGCGGCTCCCCCGTGGTGGTGGTGGGGGAATAGAGGGGCCTCTCTGGATGCAGAGTCACCGCCAGGCTCAGAGCCTGAGCTTTGTCTTGTTCCCCCCCCCCCCCCCCCCCCGGCCCTCCCCTGATGGCTCCTCTCAGGGTCTGTACCAGTGGGTCTACCACACCCCCGAGGACGCCCAGCAGGCACGGGCCAGCCAGGAGACCCCCGAGGACCCTGGCAGTCAGGGTGCCAGGGAGGAGGACCATCCCGACCCAGGTGAGGGAGCTGCTCCCCCCCCCCCCCCCCCCCCCCGCACCATGTCCTTGTGGCTGTGGCTTCCGTGGTCTCCAGGGGCAGCTGTCACAAACACTGCACACACTGACCATCCTGCAGCTCCCGAAATGCCCGCCCTGGGCCTGCACTTCCCTCTGGGGCTCTAGAGAGTCTCCCATCTTCTCATCTGTTGCCGCTTCTAGAAGCTTCCTTGTTTCATGGCTCTGTGGCTGACTGGTTGGCCCCATTGTTATTGACCTCAGTTCCCCTCATCCCGCTGTCTTTCCAACCCTGTTTCCTCAGCTCTGTCCGTCCTGTTGAGGATCCTTAGGGTTAGATCCACCCCCACCTCCCCCCCCACCCCGCCCCAAATGGCCTGCTACCCTGAGGCTGGGCCCGCCTATGGCAGTGGCTCCCTGGGCCAGTCTCCCAGGGGGAACAGAACCTTCTGAGCTCCCCCCCCCGTTCAGCAGACACCCCCTTTCCTCACTGAGGCCTTCACCCCAGCCCTATCTGCCCTCGGCTTCCAGCCCTTCCCCTGCTGTCACTGGGCCCCCAGCTGAGCCTGCGCGAGGACGGCCCCGTGGTCAGCCTGACGGTGGACAACGGTCCCCTGGAGCACGGCGTGGTGTACGAGTACGTGAGCACGGCGGGCGTGCGGTGCCACGTGCTGGAGAAGATCGTGGAGCCCCGGGGCTGCTTCCGCCTGGTGGCCAAGGTCTGGCTGTGCCTGGGCGGGGTGGGGGCGCCGCCCTGGCCCTGCCGGCCATCCCTGCTCCCCACCCCCGAGGAAACCGGGGAGGCCTCTATTCCCTCGGCGGGCACCTGATGCCCCACGGAGCCGGGGTGTGTGTGGGGGTACTGAGCCCTCGCCTGCCCTCCCTTGCAGGTCCTGGAGGCCTTGGCGGCCGCGGACAGCACCTTCGTGCAGAACTGCGGGCGCCTCATGGCCATGAGCGGCGCCATCGTAACCATGTCCCACTACGAGTTCCGCCACCTCTGCGACACCAGGCTGGAGAGCGTGGGCCGCAGGATCGCCTGCTACCGGGAGGTGCGGCCCGGGCCGCGGCCCCTCTCCCTCCACCCACACCCCCCGCTCCCGGTGCCCCGCGCAGGAGAAGCACTGGGGACCGAGACCCACCACACCGGTGGCCTCAGGCGTGGTGGCACCTGGGTGTTTCGGTAGCTAGCGCAGGAGGGGACCTTGCTCCACGCCTTGCCTCGTTTCCAGTCTCCCGTGGTGACTCCAAGGCCCTTCCGGTCTCGCTCAGGGTGGCTGGCTGGCAAGGCCCGGGCCACGTGCTTCCCGTCTCTAGAGACAGGGTCCTCCCTGCTGGCCCTGGGGTGATGTGGTGAAGCAATGCCCGTAAGCTCTCGGTGGGCTCTGCTCCTGCCAGGCTGGCCGTGAAACTGGGACCCCGTAGGGGCGCCCCAGGCCCCCCGCTTTACGTTCCGAGCTGTTGCTCCCTCATTCCGTTCAGGGACCTGCGGCCTGGGCCCGAGCAGCGCGGGCCTCGGCCTCACCACCCGCCTCCCCTCTTCCTCAGTTCGCAGCCCAGCTGAGGAACAGGGTCAGCCCCCCCTTCAAGCAGGCGTCCCCCGACCCCCACCCGCTGTGCGGCCTGGACTTCTGCCCCACCAACTGCCACATCAACCTCATGGAAGTGTCCTACCCCAAGACCACCCCCTCGGTCGGCCGCTCCTTCAGCATTCGCTTCGGCCGCAAGCCCTCCCTCATCGGCCTCGACCCGGAGCAAGGTACCTGCGTGGATCTCACAGGGCAGATACGAACCCTGTGTCTGAGGGCCCCCGGTCCAGGCGTGGAGCAGGGACGCCAGTGTCACCAGAAATACAGGCTGCTCCTCTTTCTCTGAGTCATTACCTCTAACCTTCAGGATGCCTCATAGTCAAGTGTAGCTGCTGGAGCTCCAGCCACTATGTCTATGCTTCACGTGGAAAAAAAAGACCACAGTGGCTAAAAACATATTAACAGCAAACAAACTTTCTTCTTGAGCTACCCTAGTCATTTCAAAAGTATTAGAAAGGAGAGACCAGGCACTAGTGGCTCAAGCCTACAACGCTGGCTTACTTGAGAGGCTGAGATCAGGAGGGCTACAGTTGAAGGCTAGCCTGCGTAGAAACTCTGTGAGACTCCGTGTCCCCAGAGGGAGGCTGGAGGTGGTGCCACATGCCAGCCACCCCACAATGACAGGGTGCCTAGCATAGTCAGGTTATGTCTCAGGCCCCAGGCCCACACACCTGGATGGGAAGCAAGACCCAGTTCTACAAATAACTAGCTAAAACCAAGGCTGGAGGCATGGCTCAGTGTAGACCACCAGCCTAGTAAGCACAAGTTCCAAACCTCGTTCCTGCCCCCAGACAGAGTTGTGGAAAGGGGGAGTTTGCCCTTCATCGGGGCTCTGTGGTGCACTGGTATCCCCTCCCCCAAGGGCTGTGTGTGGGGCTGTACTCGAGCGCAGTTCCCCGCTCTGTTCCAGGACACCTGAACCCCAAGTCCTACACGCAGCACTGCATCACCACCATGGCTGCCCCTTCCTGGAGGTGCCTGCCCACTGCTGACGGCGACGCCCTGGGCCTGGGCGCCAGCAGCCCCGAGGAGCGAGGCTTGAGCTTCCTGCTGAAGCAGGAGGAGCGCGAGGTGCAGGACGCCTTCCTGCAGCTCTTCACCAAGCTGGACGTGGCCCTCAGGGAGATGCGGCAGTATGTCTCCCAGATCAACAGGTGTGGCCCGGCCTGGATCCCAGGGCTAGGGGCGGGGCCCAGGGCTAGGGGCGGGGCTTGGGACTCAGGGGCGGGGCTCAGGGCGGGGCTCTGAGAGGGGCTCTGGGATGGGCTCGGGCTTGGGGGTGGGGCCCGGTGCTGGAGGCAGGGCTCAGGGGCGGGGCTTGGGGCGGGGCTCAGGGATTGGGGGTGGGGCCTGGTGCTGGGGGTGGGGCTCAGGGCCAGGCTCAGGGCTTGGGGTGGGGCCCGGTGCTGGGGGCAGAGCTCAGGGGCAGGGCCTGGGACGCATTAGGCCTGTTCCCTCTCAGCTGGCGCTCTGCCACTTGGAGCACACTCACCCCAGTTCTGGCTGTTTTGTTTGTTCATTGGAGATAAGTCTCCCGTTTGTTAGCCCAGGTTGGCTTTGAACTGCAGTTCTCAAGAGTAGCTAGGATAACAGGTGTGAGTCACTGGTGCCTAGCCAGGCACCCCTCTTTGTAGCGGGGCGTCCTGTGCCCCATCCCTGCCCGCAACCACCAGGCAGTGCCTCCCCTTGGGAGGTGCCAGGTGCCCCCAGAGCAGAGTGGCCCCTGCCCAGAACCCGCTCTGCTGAAGCCTCTGGGGCCAGAGTTACTTGGAGAGGGGGCCAGGGACATTCATAATTTACCAACCTGGAAAGGCCACTGGACACGCCGCCCCGGGGCTGTGGGACCACAGGACCTGCAGGGCCACCGCTGGCCGCCACCCGCAGGAGCAGGAGCGGCGCTGTGGAGCGTACACGCCCACAGGCCCCACAGCTGGATGGAGGCGGCTCCACGGCGGCCAGGGTGCACTTGGCTGGAGGCAGATCCTGATAGATCCCATTTTACAGACGAGGAAACGGAGTCTGGGAGTGGTCACATCACTTGCTTTTGGCCTCTAAGCCTAGGAGGGGGCCGTGGGGGGGTCAGTGTGCAGTGCGCGGACTCACAGTTACAGTGTGCACAGCTCTCGTGGGGGCCAGCTCTGGGGGAGGCTGCAGGAGGAGGCAGGCGCTGTGGCCTCGCCTGGAGCCCGGTTAGCTTGCCCGTAAGATGGCGCTGTGGAACGCACACTTTGGGGGGACAGGGGAGCCTGGTGAGGTTTGAGGGGCTTTCAAGGAAGGGCACAAGGCACTGGGGAAGCCCCTCTGTGTGAGGTCAGCGGGGAGGCTCAGAGCCCGGGACCCTGTGCAGCGGTGACCCCGCGGGCCTGCCCTCCCGCAGGCTGCTGTCCACCATCACGGAGCCCACCTCCCTGGGGGCCTGCGACGCACCGCTGGCTGAGGGGGCCTCGTCCTCGTCCTCCCCGCTGGTGAGCGAGGAGAGCGAGGCAGACAGGACTGACCACGGGGGCAGCAAGAAGGTGTGCTTCAAGGTGTCCGAGGAGGACCAGGAGGACTCGGGCCATGACACCATGAGCTACCGCGACTCCTACAGGTGCGTGGAGCTGGGGGTGTATGTGGGGGGCGCTGCCCAGCATGCAGTGGGCCCAGGCTCTGGCTCACGCAGCGGGTGGATGAGTGAGGGGTTCTGAGCCCCGGGGGATGGGGAGGGGGTGCCTGCTGGACACACGCGGTCCATCCTGTGCCCAGTGTTCACCGTGTCGCATGGTAGACATCTGGCTGCCTGGGACTTTGCTGTCCTTGGACTTGGGTCCAAGTTTGTCCAGCTCTGGGTTTGTTTTTTTTCTTCAAGTTTTAAGAGTGGACTTTAAAAACAATATTCTAAATAGATTTTTTTATTGTTATGATAAAGGTGATATGCAGAAGGGTTACGGTTTCATAAGTTAGGTAATGAGTACGCTTCTTTCTGGACAATAGCATCCTGGGTTTTCTTCCTTTTTTTTTTTTTCTTTTTTCTTTTTTTCTTGCTGGTCCTGGGGGCTTGAACTCAGGGCCTGGGCACTGTCCCTGAGCTTCTTTTGCTCAAGGCTGGCACTCTACCACTTGAGCCACAGCACCACTTCCGGCTTTTTCCTTGTATGTGGTACTGAGGAATCGAACCCAGGGTTTCATGCATGCTAGGCAAGCACTCTATCACTAAGCCTCATTCCCAGCCCCTGAGTTTTCATTTTAATGGATTTATTTTCCCCTTCGTTGTTCAGAAGGCTGTCCCCGGTTCCCGCTCCCTGACTTGTTCCCTTTGGCCTAGTGTGGCATGGGCAGACATGTCCAGCAGGGCTAGAAAGGGAGGAGGCAGGTGCGCGGGGGGGCCCTGCAGATGAGGGACCGTGGTGACACCTGGCTGAAGATGCTTGCTGTCCTCCCCCCTGTGTTTCTGGAAGTTTCCTCCCTCGCAGGCAATGGGCTGCACCCTGCCCAGTATCTACTCAAGGCCAAGCCTTCGTCCATCCTCCAAAAAGAGGGCCGAGGGGCTGGGCTGGAGGTGAGCGGAGGTCCCTGAGCTGTGTCTCCCCGTTGCAGCGAGTGTAACAGCAACCGGGACTCGGTCCTGTCTTATACCAGCGTGAGGAGCAGCAGCTCCTACCTGGGCAGCGACGAGATGGGGTCGGGTAAGTGCAGAGTGGGGCTGTGTATTGGTGGTGTGTCAGGCTGCGCGTGTTGACTGGGAACTTCCTATGTGCTGCTCACAGGAACCTAAGAGCCAGCCCCTGTGGGTGCGAGGGAATGTACTTGGGGTGCCGCATGATTGTGTGGTTGTGTGTGAGCTCAACTCAAACCCAAACCACCCAGGAGAGGTAGAAGAAATGCACGGAGTCTCCCCAGCCCCAGAAGGGGGTCACTGGTGAATGCACATTCATGCGCTCGACCGGTGGGGGGGGTGTGGGGGTGGGTGGGTGGGGGACAGAGGCAGCATTGCTTCATGTGTCCATGGCCCTCCAGCGGGAGGCAGAGGTGGCTGACTGAGGTCTTCCGGTTGCCAGGGGACGAGCTGCCTTGTGACATGCGCATGGCGTGGGACAAGCAGGACAAGCTGCATGGCTGCCTGGAGCATCTCTTCAACCAGGTGGACGCCATCAACGGGCTTCTCCAGGGCCCGGTGATGAGCAGGGCCTTCGAGGAGGCCCGGCACTTCCCCATGGAGCACAACCTGCAAGGTGATTGGCTAGCGCCCCTGGGGGAGAGGGGAGGGGGGGCAAAGGGGAGGGAGTAGGGGAGGGGGGCGGGCAAGCCACTGGGGACCCAGATCACAGGCTCCGCCAGATTGGTGGGTCCGAGCCATGGACCAGATCAGCCCGATCCACAGCCTGCTTTGTGCAGACCCAGAGCTGAGAACCATCTTTGCATAAAGGGTTGTCAAAAGAAAACCAAGTATGCCGGGCGCCGGTGGCTCATGCCTGTAATCCTAGCTGCTCAGGAGGCTGGGATCTGAGGGTCACGGTTCAAAGCCAGCCCGGGCAGGAAATTCTGTGAGACTCTTTTATCTTCCAGTTAACCACCTGCTAGCAAACGGGAAATGGTGCTGTGGCTCAAAGCTGTAGAGTACTAGCTTTGAGTGAAAAAGCTCAGGGACAGTTCTCAGGCCAGGAGTTCAAGTCCCATGACCAACAAAACTCTCCTCCCCCCTCCCCCCAAAAAGCAAAAAACCCAAGTATGTGTGGCACAGGCCACAGGCCCTGCCATACATGGCTCTACAAGGAGACTCTGCCCCGGGCGGCCCCTGGCCCTCCTGGGCTGCAGGGTGGTGACCCCAGTGGGAGGGAGGCCTGTGAGCCGGGACCGCACAGGCCCCCGGGGCTCAGGGAAATATCCACAGCTGTAATTCACAGCTTCTCCTCTTCTTATTGAAAGCTCCTCTCCCCTCCCTTTTAGAAGCTGAGCTTTGGAAAGACCTTGTCAAGCTCTGTATGGAAAGCCAGCGTGCCATGCATAGGTCAATGATAAGCCATAGCAGTGAACCCAGTGTGAACACAGACAACAGAATGTCCCCAGGCCTGCCCAGCGCGGCGCCAAACTCAGACACCTGAAATAAAATGTCCCAGGTCCTTCCACCTAGTATTTGCCCATTTATCTACATGCCCACCTGTCTGTTTACCATCCACCACCCATCCACCCAACTACTCACATCTACCCATTCCACTATCTATCTACCACCCATCCCCCACCATCCATCATCCACCCAGCTACCCAACTGCCCACATTTACCCACCCATCCATCCATCCATCTACTACCCACCATCCACCCACTTATCTACCCAGCTAAGCACATCTACCTATCCAGCTACCCATCCACCCACCGTCCACCATCCCGGGCAGGTAGGAAGGGATTCCTGAGAGCCAGCTTGTGCCAGTCCTGAACTGGGCACTGGTGAGCTCAGCCCTGCCCTGCCCTCAGGGTCTCCTGTGGCGTGTAGCAGTTGATGTAGGTGGGCGGCTGCCTGTAAGTAGGAGGTAGGAAGTGGCAGGAGGCGGGTCCTGGTGCCTGCCTCTCCTGTGTCTCGGGATTTCCTCTGCAGACGTAGGCCGCAGGAGGCAGAGGCGTTGAGAGGAACCGAGCCCACAGAAACCTCAGAAGGCTGGGAAGAGGGCGAAAGGCCTAGGCCTGTGCCTGGCTGGCCTTTGAATGGCCTTGCTGGGGCCAGGTTTAAGGCTCAGCTACCAGTGCCCAGCCATGTGACTTTGAGCAAGTCACTTTTCTACTGTGTCTGAGCTTCCACCTCTGTGTAGAGAAAGGGTTAGATTACCACTCATGTCCCTCCACGGAGGGAATCCCTGAGAGACTTGGAGCTACAGCCTCCAGCTCTGAGAGGAAAGCAGCCAGGACTCATGCGTGATGTCCACTGTAGCTGTGGGAGTTGCAGCCTCACACTAGCAGGAGGGAACTCTGAGGTTGATGGGTGATGTCTGCCAAGGGTGTGGTATATGAAGCAGTGGCATGCTTACCACCTCTGCTGTCCGTGGTGGGTGATACCTGACGATACCCAGGCATCCTGCCAGCTGTCTCTGTCTAGGATTATGAGCTTTGAAATCTGGTGACAGTCATGGGCCACTCCCCTCCCTCTCTTGGCCCTCATGCCTCTTTCCTGCCCCAGAGTTCAAGCAGAAAGAAGAATGTATGATCCGTGGGCGGAGCCTGATCCAGACCAGCATCCAGGAGGACCCCTGGAACCTGCCCAGCTCCATCAAGACCCTGGTGGACAACATCCAGAGATACGTGGAAGGTCAGCATGTGGTGGGTGGCTTGCCAAGGGTGTTCTGGATCAGGCCCATCTGCAGGCTCAGGGCAGGGCAAGAGGAGTGGGTCCCTTTTCCGGGAAGCGAGCTCAGGGCCGTCCACACTGACCACGGAGCTGCCCAAGTGGAGGCCATGTCAGCTGAGGAGGCTTATCCGAGGTCAGCAGGCTGGCAGGCTGGACTTAGGTTTTTTTTGGTAGTCGTGGGGCTTGAACTCATGGTCTGGGTGCTGTCCCTAAGCAGTTTTTGCTCAAGGCCAGCGCTCTACCACTTGTGGTTTTTGAGTGGTTCCTTGGAGATGAGAATCTCATGGGGACTTTTCTGCCTGGGCTGGCTTTGAACTGTGATCCTCAGACCTCAGCCTCCAGAGCAGGCAGGCTTTCGGGCTGTCTGTGGGCGGTAAGGTGCTGTGCTGGCTTATCTTGGCCAATGTCGCCAGATGAGTCTGGTGTCGTGGGCTTCCATGGCCAGGCGTCCGGCGTTGCTGGAATTCACCCTCTGCACAGTACGAGCTCCAGGAGCCCAGCCTGTGCTCTGGTGCTCCGAGGGGCAGCGTGGCAGGGCCCACGGGCCGCCCCTCTGGGACCCCTCCCCCCCACACCTGCCTGTCTCCCCCTCTCCTTGCAGACGGGAAGAACCAGCTACTCCTGGCCTTGCTGAAGTGCACAGGTGAGTGGCCCGTGTCACCCCGCCAGCACCCCCAGTCAGGCCCCTGGTTTGCCCCAGTCCTTCAGCCAGTCAGATCAGACCTCACTCCTTGGCCTGAGGGAAGGTGTCGGGGCTGAGAGCTAGGCCTGTCATGGCCCTGGCGGAGGACACAGGACGGCCGGCCCAGGCCAGGAGGCCCTGTCTGAGAGCCAGCGGGGCACAGCGGGCGGGTTTGGGAGGTGGCAGTCTTGGCTGCTCCCTGTGCCTTGTCCCTTCCAGAGACGCACCCCACGTGGCAGTGGCACCCCATCAATCTAATGCCCCCCTAGATTGCCCCAAGGCCCGAGTGCATGGTAGTGGGGTTCTTCAGGGCCAGGCTCAGGTGGGGGGATGGTGGGGGGGATGGAGGGGCGCAGCGAGCGTGGGCTTGGCACCTCTCTGGCCAAGGCAGGGGGTGGGGGGTCCCTGGGTGAGGCAGCTTGTCTCCCGGTGAGATTTGGGGGGGTGCCAGGGGCTTTGGGAGGAACTGACTTCTGTGGACCCAGCCTTGGGGTCTGGTTGTGTGGGGGGGGGTTGCTGGGCCCCCCTCTCAGTGCTGGTGCCCCTCCCCCAGACACAGAGCTGCAGCTGCGCAGGGACGCCATCTTCTCCCAGGCCCTGGTGGCCGCCGTGTGCACCTTCTCCGAGCAGCTGCTGGCCGCCCTCAGCTACCGCTACAACAACAACGGCGAGTACGAGGAGAGCAGCCGTGACGCCAGCCGCAAGTGGCTGGAGCAGGTGGCAGCCACTGGCGTCCTGCTGCACTGCCAGTCGCTGCTGGCGCCAGCCGCGGTGGTGAGTGGCGGAGATGGCGGAGGTGGTGGTGGTGCTGGTGGTGATGGTGGTGATGATGGTGGTGATGGTGGTGGTGGTGATGGTGATGATGGTGATGGTGATGGTGATGATGGTGATGATGATGATGGTGGTGATGGTGATGGTGGTGATGATGGTGGTGGTGATGATGATGATGGTGATGATGATGGTGGTGGTGATGGTGGTGATGGTGATGATGATGATGATGGTGGTGATGGTGGTGATGATGGTGGTGGTGATGGTGGTGGTGGTGATGATGATGGTGGTGATGGTGGTGATGGTGGTGGTGGTGGTGATAGTGGTGGTGATGGTGGTGATGGTGATGGTGGTGGTGGTGGTGATGGTGATGATGGTAGTGATGGTGGTGATGGTGATGGTGGTGGTGGTGGTGGTGATGGTGGTGGTGATGATGGTGGTGATAGTGGCGATGGTGGTGGTGGTGGTGGTGGTGGTGGTGATGGTGGTGGTGATGATGGTGGTGATGGTGGTGATGATGGTGATGGTGGTGGTGTTGGTGGTGATGGTGATGGTGGTGATGGTGTTGATGGTGGTGGTGGTGGTGGTGGTGGTGATGGTGGTGATGGTGATGATGATGGTGGTGATGGTGATGATGATGGTGGTGATGGTGGTGGTGGTGGTGGTGATGGTGGTGGTGGTGGTGGTGGTGGTGATGGTGGTGGTGGTGGTGGTGATGATGGTGGTGGTGGTGGTGGTGATGGTGGTGGTGGTGGTGGTGGTGATGGTGATGGTGGTGGTGGTGGTGGTGATGGTGATGGTGGTGATGGTGATGGTGGTGATGGTGGTAGTAGCAGTGTGTCAGGTGTGTGCTGCTGTTAGGGGTGGGACCGTGAGCGAACCAAACGAGTCTGCTCTGTGTTCCCAGCCACCCTCAGTCTGACCACCTGACACAGGTGTGTGTGTGGGAGGGGGTTGGGGCAGGAAGGGGCTGGGCAGAGGCAGGGAGCACAACCGACCTGCGGTGTGAACCTGGGGTGCTGCTCAGAATCCCCCGGCTGCCCCTAGCACAAACTAGGCCACCCAGGTCCCGTGGCCCCCTGTGACCTTGGAGCGCCCTCTGCTGGCCACTGCTGGCAGGCACAGGCTCTAAGTGGGCAAAGAGCCCAGTTCAGCCCAGGGCCCAGAGGGCTGTGGGCCTCCAGCCCTGGCCGTCCTCTTCCTGGAGCCCAGTCCCCTCACGCTCTGCCTCTGGTGCTGTGATGTCTGGGTCTGCGGAATACATGCTAGCAGGGGCAGGCAGACTGAGCCGGGGCTGGCCGCAGGCCACCCACAGTGAGACCGTGCAGAAAGTCTTTCTGCAGAGGTGATGTTTGAGCAGAGGTGTTTGCCAGCCAGGAAAACAGAGGCAGAGTGTGCTGGGCAGTGAGAGAACACATGCAAAAGCCCCAAGGCAGTGCGACCAGAAGGGAGCAGGCAGGGCCTGGGATGAGGTGGCTGAGGCGTTATTCTAGGCAGATGAGTAATGTGCATAAAAGGTAATGGATGGTCCTGTTTAAGGAGGGGGAAGGGCCCCAGCCTCTGGCCTGGCCCTGCACTTGGCCTTGGGCAGTGGCTGGGAGTTGGGTTTGGTGGTGGCCATTGGGTACGGCCGTGGATCCCGAATGCTCGGCCCCAGGTACCTGTACAGGGTGGGGCCCGTGAGTGTGGGTGGATCGAGGTGAAGAGCATGGTTAAGTCTGCATCTCGGTGCCCATGAGGGAGACAGGGCATCACTAGGGCCACTTAGCAGTCAGGGCCCAGCTGTGTCCTGACCTGCAGCGGGCACAGGATGTGCCAGGGCACAGCCCTTGGCCAATGCAGAGCCACACCAGGGACCTGTGCCCGGTGGCTCGTCAGCGTGTGGGTCGCGGGGGGAAGCAGGGGGTGGCGTCCGAGGTCCCGCTGCGCCCTGTCCCCGCAGAAGGAGGAGCGGAGCATGCTGGAGGACCTGTGGGGGACGCTGTCAGAGCTGGACAACGTCAGCTTCTCCTTCAAGCAGCTGGACGAGAACTGCGTGGCCAGTGAGTGACCGGAGCCCCCACCCCTGCTGCCCCCGCGGGGCGGGCCTCTCTAGGCCGGCTTGCCGTCCACGTGGAGAAAGAGGAGTTTCTTTTCATTCATGCCCAGCTGTCTTCACAGCTTGTTAAAAACACGCCACAGCTCCTTCTAAGGGAAGCCCTTCTTCAGGGTGAACACTTAAGATTTGTAAGGGCTCATCCCGTCATGAAGACTGCATGGTCTTCCTCCCTCCTGCTCCTCCTCCTCCTCCTCCCCCCTAAATGTGAAAGTTTAAATGCCGCTTTCTGCATAAAGAGTGTTTTCCCCAGTCGCCCCTCAGTAACCTGTCAGCCCAGCATCACTCTACGCCCCGAGGGTGCTGGGGCCTCTTTAGTTCATGGAGGCTGAGTTGGGCGCCGGGAGATCCACGGATGGATTAGTGATGTCTGAACAGGGCAGGATGGGGTCAGTGAGGTCCCAACATCCGGGCCACAGGCTGTCCTGCCGGTGAAGATGGTGCAGGCCTGGGACGGGCGCGGGCAGCTTCGGGAGGCAGGGCCCGGGCTGAAGGGCCTCAGGGGAGCCCATGTGGGGCACTGAAGGCACGGCCTGTCCAGCTGGCCTCCCAGCCAGGCAGGGAGCTCGGGGTGGGAGGGCCCCTCCCCCGCCCCCCAGGCTGGGGTGACAAGGGGCTGAGCCTGGCCCGGGGTGGACGGGCGGCGCCCGTGTGCGGAATCGGCCCCAGTGCAGGCCCCGCCGCCCTGGGCCTCGCGCTGAGCCGCCCGCCCACCTTGCCCTCCACAGACACCAACGTCTTCTACCACATCGAGGGCAGCCGGCAGGCGCTGAGGGTGGTCTTCTACCTGGACAGCTTCCACTTCTCCAGGCTGCCGTCCCGCTTGGAGAGCGGGGCCAGCCTCCGGCTGCACACCGTGCTCTTCACCAAGGGTGAGCTTCCAGCCGGAGCGGCGGGGGGGGGGGGGGGGGGGGGGGGAAGGACAGGGGGGGGGCACAGCCACCAGGCATCGGGGGCCATCCACCCTCCCTGCTCCTGTTCACAGCTCTGGACAACGTGGAGGGGCCTCCACCTCCAGGCAGCCAGGCGGTGGAAGACTTGGAGCAGGAGATCAACGCCCAGTCGCTGGACAAGGTGCAGCAGTACTACCGCAAGCTCAGGTATCCAAGGAGAGCCGCGCACCTGCTGTGTGCTGGGGGACACCCGCAGCAGGCCGTCCCCGCCCATTCACAGAGGGGAAAACTGAGGCCCGGCGAGCAGCCTTGCCAGTGCAGGGCTGTGTGGATCCTGTCTGTGGGGCAGGAGCCCAGTGGGGCCCGTGGACACGGACGGTCCGTCTAGCCTGCGTGGGGGCAGGGTCCCTGAGGAAAAGACGTGGAGCCCGGGGAGGAGGGTGCAGGCGGTGCTGCAGACGCTGGGCTGGGCCAGGGGCGGGAAGACAGTGAGCGACACGCCGGTCCTCGGCCATGTCTTCCTCTCAGGGCGTTTTACCTGGAACGGTCCAACCTGCCCACCGATGCCAGCACCACAGCAGTCAAGATCGACCAGGTGTGTCTCGGGTCACGGGAAGTGTGGGCCGGCGGGGGCCCTGGAGTTGGGCCTCACCCCAGCTAGCGTCCTGGCCCAGAAGCCCCTGCGGCTCAGCAGCGCCTCTTCCCGAAGGCTCTGGGAGGGCCCCTTCCCCTGGGAGGGCTCCCATCCCCCTGAGTCCGCTCATTCATCCTTTATTTACCAATGCGTTCTGTGGGTTGGAGCCCCACGCAGATTACCTGTGAACTCCATGCTGCGTGTGCCCGGGAGGTGTTCCTGTGGGAATGTGCGCCCACAGACTGGGCACAGTGGCTCAGGTCTGCAACCCTAGCTACTGGGAGAGGTAGAAATTGGGAAGATCAAGGTTCAGGGCCAGCCTGGGCAAAAAGTTTGTGAGACCTCCAACTCAGTAAATAAGCCAGGCATGGTTGTGTGTGCCTGTAATCCCAGTTGCACAGTGTCGTAGGTTGGAAGATGGAAGTCCATGTCCAGCTATTGGACTGCACAGGTAGCTGGGGGCGGGGCTAGTGGACTGCCATTCAGCCTGCACAGGTGGCTGGGGGCGGGACTAGTGGACTGCCATTCAGCCTGCACAGGTGGCTGGGGGCGGGACTAGTGGACTGCCATTCAGCCTGCACAGGTGGCTGGGGGCGGGACTAGTGGACTGTCATTCCAGCCTGCACAGGTGGCTGGGATGGGGCTAGGCACTGGGCCTGCACACATGGCCTGGGAGGTGTCTATGGAAAGCTTGTTCTGGGGAAGAGACCACCCGAGCTTTGGAGAGGGTGAAGGGTGAAGAAGGCTAGAATACACAGTGGGCACTGGATGCCAGCCTGCGGACGGTGGGCTGCCAGGGATGGTTCTAGGGCAGGAGCTGAGGCAGGTTCCTTGGGCCGTAGCCTTTGGGAGGGGAGCCGGGCCTCCCCCAGCCACGTGCGGCCTCTAACCCCGCAGCTGATCCGGCCCATCAACGCCCTGGACGAGCTCTGCCGCCTCATGAAGTCCCTGGTGCACCCCCGGCCCGGTGCCAGCGGCAGCCCGGGCGCCAGCCTCATCCCCATCTCCTCGGAGCTCTGCTACCGCCTGGGGGCCTGCCAGATTGCCATGTGCGGCACGGGCATGCAGCGGTGAGCCGAGAGCCGAGCCCGGGGCCCTGTGTGAGGGGGTGCGGGCGGGGCTGGCGGGGCCTGGGCCTGGCCTCGCTCCTGTGGCCTCAGTGTGTTTGTGGAGGCCTACTGTGTGCCGGGCCTTTGCCTGATGAGAGTCTCACAGGATGCTCACAACCGGCCATCCCCGCCCATTCGCAGAGGGGGAAACCGAGGCCCAGCGAGCAGCCTTGCTAGGGCGGGGCTGTGTGGACCCCGTCTGCAGGGTCCCCCAGGTCCCCAGGCTTCAGACAGTCCTGAATTCGGAGTCCTGTGGGTTTCCCACCCATCCTTCTGCTGTTCTTTGCCTTGCTGAGCCCCTCCCATGCGAAGCCTCCCCCCCCCCCCCCGCAGGGCGTCTCCCATCCCACAGCAGCCCCCGTGTGCCCCCACAAGTGGCACGGGCCCCGGGTCTCGGCCCCTTGTCCTCTGTCCCTGCGGGCGGCTGTGAGGCTCCGCTTCGAGCGCGGCCTCGCGGGCAGCTCCCGGGCTCATGGGGGTGAAACCGTTGCGTTGTCCAGGCCGGGAGGCATCGTGTGGCACTGCTGCTCCCTGCACCCGGGCAGTGTGGACGTGTGTCCGGGGCAGGTCGGGGAGAGACTCAGAGCAGCTGGCCACTCTCCCCTGCGCTGGTGGGCACCGGGGCGCTGCGGCCGGCGGGGTGCTCGTCCACCCTGCGCTGTGCTCACCCGGAGGCCTCTGGGGATCCGCCTGTCACCCGTGCTCCCACGTCCTCCTCCCCGTCCCCCAGGGAGCCCCATGGAGACCCTGCCTCCTGCTCCCCTTACATGGGCAGAGGGGGCCCCGCTGTGACCCGGAGGGAGCCAGGATGGACAGGGCTGAGGCGGGGAGGCCTCTCGAGAGCGGGGACCTGGGGCCCCGCATCTCACCGGCCCCCACCTGCTGCAGGAGCACGCTGAGTGTCTCGGCAGAGCAGGCGGCCATCCTGGCACGGAGCCACGGGCTGCTGCCCAAGTGCATCATGCAGGCCACGGACATCATGCGCAAGCAGGTGACGCTCCAGCCCGGCCCCAGCCCCAGGTCATGCCTGGAGGGGGTGGCGGCAGCTCTGAGCTGGCCCGGCCTGATGCTTCTCCCTTTCCAGGGCCCCAGAGTGGAGATTCTGGCCAAAAACCTCCGCATCAAAGACCAGATGCCCCGGGGGGCACCGCGGTGAGTGGCCGGCCATTCCCCGCAGGCCTCCCTGCAGGAAGACCAGCACCATGTCCCGGCTTTGCCCCTAGACTCGGGTCTCGCCCATCAGATGCAGCCGCTCTGAGGGCCGTCCCTCATTTATGGGGAGTGGAGAGCATGGGTCTGGCTGGGTGGACTGTCCTGCTGATCCCTGCGCCCTGTACCCCTGCACCCATGGGAGACTCGTCTCCTCCATTCACCTGCTCCTCTCCCTACCTGGCTTCACTCCTCCCACAGGCCTGAGGCCTGGCCATGAGTTCTGAGTCATTCATTTGGAGGTAGAAGCAGCGGAGTCTGTGCACCCTGTGAGCAGCTTGTCCAGGGCTTTGACAAGGGCAGGACCCGTGCCTGGGTCCCCACAAGGCTGGTCATGCCCTGGCCCCATTTGCCTGTGCCAGGCACCATGCCAGGCTCTCCCCACACAAAGCCGTTGGGTCCAGCATGCACGCACCCTGGGAGCTAGGCCCTGCTGCTGTCCACCGTGGGGCACTGAGCCCCCGAGGAGTTTGGTCTTGTCAAAGTCACGCAGCTAGTAGATGTCTGTGCAGCCTGAATCCGGAGCCTGGTGGTCTAGGCCTGGATGCCCGGCTGCCCCCACGGAGGGGGAATGGGCGGAGGCCCGGGTGTGGTCAGACCTGAGTGTGCCATTCGCTGGGTGCCCACTCCACAGGTCAGGCGTGGGCAGCACCTGTCTGGCACGCCACATCTTTTGCCCCGTTGAGCGTTGTATTGTGGGCAGGAGTCACCTGTTGCACGATGGTGGAAATGCCAATGGAGCCGCCCCTCACCCAGCCCCCTCTGTCCCCCACCAGCCTCTACCGCCTCTGCCAGCCTCCGGTGGATGGAGACCTCTGAACACCGATGTGCCACGTGCTCAGCCACGGCCTCTGCCGCTGCCACGTGGGAGGGGCCAGCGGCCGCAAGGCCTGGGGCGGAGACGGCCGAGGCTCCCGCCCAGCCTCCTCCATGCACCTTCGAGGACAGCGGGAGCCATGCCCGTCGAAGGACCCCGTGCAGCACTTCTTCCACACTTGTTCCGGGAGCCCAGGGAGGCTGAGCTGACAGCTCATGGGTGCCTGGCCCCGGGCGTGGAGGCCCACAGGCCCGGCTCCCTCCGGGAACTCAGCCTGCACTTTGGAACGCTGGTCCTTCAGCCTTCACTCCGAGGGACCAAGCTTTCTCCTTCCGCCCTGGCCTCCAGCCGCGCCCCTGGCCCTGTACTAACCCACCGGGCACACATGGGGAGCCGGGCCTCTGCCAGGAAAGATTGGGACTGGGGACAGGGGCCTGGTACCCAGAGGACACAAGAGCCCACCAGCCTTCAGTGTCCCCACAGCTGGTGGAACTGGAGCCATCAGCCCCGAGCACAGGATTGGCTCCGACTTTATTTATATGGCGTGACATCCCGAGATTTATACCGAGGTTTTTGTTGTTACCTATCGATGTTGTCAAAGACTTTTTTTTCTAAGGTTGTATGATTCTCTCTTTGACATTTTACATTTGAAAGAAAAAGCCTATTGTCTTAGTGGGACCAATGCTCAGTCGCATTGACAGCTTCTCCCAGTTCTACTAAAAACAAAAGAACACAAACTAAATTATTGAAAAATGTGAAGATGTCAGTACGCCTTTCCTTTTTCAATAGCAGAGTCACGCGGTACGGCTTCCAGGCCCCCAAGCCCTGCAGGCCCTGCGCCCTCCCTTCGCGGCCCAGCGTGTTTGGTTTTGGGGTGATGGGTGGAGAGGCTGGCCCCTGGGCAGCGCCTGGCACAAGGCCATCTTACTGTTGGGGTGTTACCTTCCCTGAAGAGGGCACAGGGGTGTCCCGGGGGGTCATGTTGTCAGCTTCTGAGCCAACAGGGGGTGCCCCCAGCTGTTCAGCCTTCCAACTTCCCTTCATTACAGGAATGTCCCAGCAGGGGAGAGAGAGAGGCTCCATTCCCCCCTCCCCCATGCTGCTCCTGCTGAGACACCTTGGTCCCCTAGGTCCCCATAGGACACACCTCCTGCCATGTGTGCAACTGTGTCTTGTCATAGACAAAACTTGGGAGCCCTCAGCCCTGATGAGAGAAATGGCCCCTGTCCCCTGAGGGACGGCGCACATGCTTGGGCGTGTGCCCTACGCACAGGTTCTCCTTAAATTCACCATAGATTTCTATTGCTATTGAAGTCAGTTTCATCCGGTGCTGGGTGCTATGGGCTAGTATCCAGCCTGAGCCAGCATAGGCCGAGGGCCATGCGGATCTCAACTGTCTGTGTCCCCAAGCCCGCCAGCCCTGTGCCAGCTAGGTTGCTGCTCTGCCTCAGAGCTCTTTCAAGGGCTGGGGCACAGACTTCCTTAGATTACAAGGTTGATCTGTAAAACATAACAGATTTTTTTTTTTTTTTAGTTCTGGGGCTTGAACTCAGGGCCCTGGGCACTATCCCTGAGCTTTTTTTTTCTTCTTCTCAAGGCTAACACTACCACTTGAGCCATAGCACCACTTCTGGCCTTTTCAGTTTATGTGGTAGTGCAGAATTGATTCCAGGGCTTCATGCATGCTAGGCAAGCACTCTACCACTAAGCCACCTTCCCAACCCTAAATAACAGATTTAATTTTTTTTTTTTTGTCGGTTGTGGGGCTTGAACTCTGGGCTTGGGCGCTGTCCCTCAGCTGTTCAGCTCAAGGCGAGCGCTATACCGCTTAATCCAAAGCACCATTTCCAGTTTTCTAGTGGTTTATTTGAGATAAGAGTTTCATAGACTTTCCTGCCCAGGCTGACTTTGAACTGTGATCCTCAGATCTCAGCCTCCTGAGTAGGATTACAAGTGTGAGCACCGGCTCCCAAATAACAGATTTTATATTGTATTTAACTGAGCTCTGTTCCACCACAGGTGAAAAAACAGTGACAGCTGTTTTTCCAGAAGTTTCTGCCCCTTCATGGAGTCCTATACTTGCCAAGGGTTCAGGGTGGCCCTCGAGTTGTCAACCCAACCCACAAACCCCATTGCATACACAGTTAAGTGGAGTTTAAAATACTCAGGGAGTGGTCTCAGTTGCTGGCCAATCGGTGATTGGCTGACTATAAACAGCCAATGAGAACTGGCTGCAGTGGGCCAATCAGGAAAACCTGTGCCCATGCCTTGAGTGAGCCCCAGTGGATCCCAGGCTGGCTGCCAGTTCTTCACCTGCCTGGGCCTGCGGTCCTGTGGTGCTGCCTGGAATCCTGGGCTCAACACAGGGAGTCTCCCTGACTAGTTCCCCTGTCCCTCCCTGCCTGCCTCTCTCCCGTCCCTCCCTCTCTTTCTCCCTCTCTTCCTCAATCTCTCCCTCTCTTCTTTCCTCCCTGGTTTCCCTAGTTTATCTCTTCCCTGTTTAATCCCCTTCCCATACTTCCTGCACTTGGGAAGACCCCAAAGTCTGTGAACATTTTTTTGGGGGGGGGTGATCTTCTGAGGGCCTTTCTGTTGGTCACAGCAACCCTGGAGTCCCCTGAGCCAACAGGCCTTCCCAGCTAACCTTTCTTAAGAGCCTGGACAGAAAGTGCATTCCTAGGAGCTGTTAACAGCGCTCAGCATCTACATCTGCCGCTTGTCTGAGCACCACACTGGGCTGGCAGGAAGGCCTGGCTGAGACCTTGGAACTTAGTCACTGTGCCTGTCCTCAGACCAGCAGCCGTCTGCTTGCCAAGCAACCCCTTTCAGGATGTTGCTGTCTCTTGATTCTTCTGTAAACAATGGAGATGGACCAGACCTGGCTGTAATCTGGGGCGCCAGAGGAATTCCAGGAGGTGCGAGGTAGGCCTGTGGTGTGCATGGGATACCTGTCCTGTCCAGCAGAGGGCGCTGGGGACCGTGGAGTGCCTGTCGGACCCGATGCCTACTTGGGTTTAGCTCTGCCTAGAAGTGGGGCTGGGACTGCTCGGATGAGTTGAGCTCATCATAAATGCTAGTTTTTCTTGACGTTTTCCATTTTTCTTTCTTTCACTGGTATCAAGGTTTGAATCCAGGGTCTCGCACTTGCTTTGCTGGCATTCTACTACTTGAGCCGTGTCCCCAGCCAAGCTTTGTGATGATTATTTGGGAGGTAGAGTCTTGACTTTCCTGCCTGGTCTGGTTCAAACCTTTTCCTCCAGATCTGAGTGTCCTGAGTCACCAGGATTAAAAGCATGAATCATAATAGCATAGAAGTGTGATCTTGCCTTCCCTTCTCTCCTTTACACTCCCAGCTGGATCTAGAAGGATGTGGAGATCCCAGTTCTGCGAATTGAGACCAGGAACCCAGTGTCTGTGTGCCCTCTCCCCGAACCATGGAACTGTGGCCGCGGGGTGGCGCTGTGGGCCAGGCACTCCTCCGAGGATCTCATGGAAGGAAGCTGGCTGCTCCGGAGGTGGGTGAGTTGGAGCCCAGCCCAAAGCTGGACACGGGAGTGGGGGATGGGGGTGGGGGTGGGGCTGAGGCACAGGGGCCAGGGCAGGGCATCCAGGAAAGGGCTTTGGGCTGAGTTTGAGTCTCCCTGAGTGTCCTGTGACCCTGAGCAGACTCCAGTGAGGCTGTTGTCCCAAATACCTCATTCCCTTTCGGGAGCAAATGAGGCAGAATCAATGGGGTTCACTCTAGAGAGGAATGGTGAAGGAGGAGAAATTGGGCAGAGGGCAACGTGGGCCGAGGGGCGGGGCCCACACAGGGGCACAGGAACTCAGGCTGACACTTGTGTCCGGCCTGCTGCCTGCCCTCCCCAGTGCCACCCTCACAGTGGACCTGGCACCCGCAGAGCCCACAGCCCCTGGACGCCGGTACCCACAGACCTGTCCCAGCACTCAGCTGGAAACATGAAGGCATTTAGTTTTGTTTAGTGCTGGTCATGGGGCTTGAACTCAGGGCCTAGATGCTGTCCCTGAGCTCTTTTGCTCAAGGCTAGTACTCTACTGCTTGAGCCATGGCTCCACTTCTTGCTTTTTTGGTAGTTTATTGGAGATAAGAGTCTCACGGACTTTCCTGCCCAGGCTGGCTTTGAACCTCGATCTTCAGATCTCAGTCTCCTGAGTAGCTAGGATGACAGGTGTGAGCCACCAGCACCCGGCTCATTTCTTAGGGTGATGAGCTCCATGATCCTGGGTTCAGATTCCTCCTCAAATTCCTCCATTGGCTGGTGGTGTGTGCGCAGCTTCCTCTGTCCTCATGTGGTGTTGGCTAAGGCTTTTCCCTCCCTGTGTTGGAGATGTGGGGTTGCTAAGTGCATGGTAGGTGCCAGGCTTCCACCGGCCCCTGGGCCAGGTAGGTGGTTGTCCCAGGGTTGACGGCTGGATTAGCCAGAGAGCCTCGTGTCCTCCAGGCCTCCGATGCCTAAGAACCCTTGGGGAATTTATATGTGCTTGTGAATATGTGTAAGTTCATTTAGGATAGATACGTGTGTTTTAGTAAGGAGTGTCTGGAGACACAGCTTCATCTGGAAGCGGCACCCCGATAACCAGAGGTCTAGACAGTTCCGATGAAGCAGGCCCCAGATGGCAGACCCGCCAGCGCCCCCTGGGTCCAGGGGACAGCTTTTCTGGGGCTCAGCATGGGACCAGCAGTGAGTGCCCGCTCTGCCCCCGTCCCCGGGTCTGGCACTGGACAAGCCACTGCCCCCTGGCACTTCAGCTGGCAGCGGCTTTGAGGTGTCCAGGAGCACCGGGGTGAGGGGCAGATGATGGCCATGCCAGAGGAAGGAGAGAAGAGACCGCTGCCCTCCCCACCGCCTCTGTGGGAGCAGGGAGACCCCCCCCTCCCCCAGCGGCAGTTCTTCCTCACTCTGTGGCCAAAATCACACTCGTGACTCTTCTACCCCAGTGGCCAGCAGAGAAAAGGAATCGCTATGAGGGCTGGCAGCTGCCCCGGGGCGGCACCCGTGGGAAGTGTGTGCGGCCCCTCTTGTTGACCCGTGACACGGGTGGCATTACTTACAGGTCTGCGGTGGCCCTGGGGACCTGGTCAGAGGCCTGGCGCCTCTGCTCCTGTTTCGGATCTGTGCTCAGCAGATCAGCTTTGATTCCTGCTCAGTTCTGCAGACCATGGGAACCCCACAGTGCATTTAAGGGGCGTCTGTTCCTACTCCTCAGGGTTCAAGGGCCTGGGTGGGATGTGGAGTGCCTAAGTGCTTTCTAAGAACTGCAGGGGCATGGTGGTGCGCGGGTGTCACCCGCCAGCCACGACCGGGCCTGCTCCCCCCACCCCCCAGCAGCGCCTCCAAGCCGAATGAGCTCCATCTCGCCTTCCTGACCGGCTAGCCTCTCTGCAACCTCTGGGGAGCTGGTGACGAGCCGTGAGACCCCACTTTGACCAAGACCCGTCGGCCAGACCTGCATCTCACCCCTGCTCTTCCTCCTTCCGCCACCGAGACCCAAGGATCGCGGCAGCGCCCCGAGGGCAGCTCCTGGGTCTGCCTCCCGGGACTGGCCACACCATGAAGAAATGCCTTCCGAGTCTTTCACCATGTGTTTGCTGTCTACATTTCTTTTGGGGTGAGTGGGCAGCCTTGGTCACTTGGGGCTCTCTGCGTTCAGGCTCCCCTGTGGCCCAGGACCCCGGTAGCCTTTCCAGGAGGCAGCAGGGAATGCTGGATGCTCATGGAGAGAATAATCTATACAGGGCAGAGGCCTTCCCCCAACAACAACAAAAAAATCTCCCTGCCCCAGGTGCCCCCTGGTGGTCAGATGGGAGGTGGCCTCGTGCAGCAGCATCCCGGGCACCCCGTGTCTGCCTGCTCTGGGCCGTCCTTCCTCTCCCCCCCCCCCCCCCCCCCCCCCCCGCCCTCCCCTCCTGCCCTCCAAGCCTAACTTACAACCTGCTGACCAGGATTGCACGAGGCCATGGCCCTGGGGCTTCTCATTTGCATATTAAATGAGTTTCCTCTCATGGAATATTATTGTCCTTTTATTTCTTTTTTTGTTCTTGTTTTGGCCAGTCCTGGGGCTTGAACTCAAGGCCTGAGCACTGTCCCTGAGTTTCTTTTGCTCAAGGCTAGCACTCTACCACTTGAGCCACTTCTGGCTTTTTTTTTTTTTCCCCAGTCGTGGGGCTTGAACTCTGGGCCTGGGCGCTGTCCCTCAGCTCTTCAGCTCAAGGTGAGTACTCTACCACTTGAGCCACAGCGCCACTTCTGGTTTTCTAGTGGTTTATTGGAGATAAGAGTCTCACAGACTTGCCTGCCTGGGCTGGCTTTGAACTGCGATCCTCAGATCTCAGCCTCCTGAGTAGCTAGGATTACAGGTGTGAGCCACGGGTGCCTGGCTCACTTCTGACTTCTGTGTATGTGGTACTGAGGACTTGAACCCAGGGCTTCATGCAGCTAGGTGAGCACTCTACCACTAGGCCACTTTCCCAGTCCCTTTTATGTCTTGTCTATCCTCCACTTCATGGGCATGGCTTTGTGAGTAGGTGTGCGATGTTGGTGAATTATGGCTGGGTTTCATCTCTGCTAGGTGGGACGTGGTTAAACGTCTCCCTCCCCCTTTCCCTTTCTTTCTGGAGACATCTGCAGGGGCCAGGGCAGCCCTTGGGAAGCCATCACGTTCCGTGCCTGCTCATTCAGTGACTGGAGCCGCCACGGCCACAGCGCACACGTGTGTGCATAGACACGCGTGTTGTCATCATTCACGAAGGAGCCACAGTCAGAGAAGACGCCTGGGCAGTGGGTGTGAGCCATCGTCCCCGCGTGGGCCCCATCTCTGTGGGCTCTGCGTGGCGCACAGCCTGGCCTGCGTCTGGGCAGCGCTGGTGGCTGCTGTGGCTAAAGGCAGAGACGGAGCTGTGGGGACACGGTGCGCGTGGCTCGTAGCGCATTTACTGTGTAGCACTGTGCAGGAAGGGGTGCTGAGCTCCAAGCTGAGGTGTCTCAGGCTGGCAACGGGGGCTTGTGTCACTAACTACCCATCTGCGGTGACATGGGTGTGCATGAGGGCGTTGTGCAGCTGAGAGACAGGAGCTTTTTGATTTCTCTGTGTGTGCCGGTCCTGGGGCTTGAACTCAGGGCCTGAGCGCTGTCCCTTTGTGTTTCTGCTCATGGCTGGTACTCTGTTATTTGAGCCACAGTTCTACTTCTGGCTTTTTGGTGATTCATTGGTGATAAGAGTCTCACAGACTTGCCGGGCGCCGGTGGCTCACACCTGTCATCCCAGCTGCTCAGGAGGTTGAGATCTGAGGATCGTGGTTCAAAGCCAGCCTGGGCAGGAAAGTCCGTGAGACTCATTTCGAATGAACCACCAAAAAACCAGAAGTGGTGCTGGGGCTTAATGGTAGAGTGCTCGTCTTGAGCTGAAGAGCTGAGGGACAGCGCTCAGGCCCAGAGTTCAAGGCCCATGATGGACAAAAAAAAAAGTCTCTTGGACTTTCCTGTTCCAGCTGGCTTTGAACCACGATCCTCAGATCTCAGCCCTCTGAGTAGCTGGGATGACAGGTGTGAGCCACTGGCGTCCGGCCTGAGGACAGCAGCGTGGGGACTGAGTAGGGGACGTCAGCTCTAGGCCACGGATGCCAGGAAGCAATGACTCCCTCAGTCCGAGGGAGGACTCACTCGCTGCATCTGTAGGATGGGCTTGAAATATACCAACAGTAACAACAACAACAACAACACATCAGCCATAAATGCATCGGTCTGCAGAGCTGACCTGTGAGCTCTGGCTGCTGGTGGGCATGGGCTGTGGCTTGGAGGGGCGGGGCTTGTGCTCACGGGAAGGGCCGTCACTAGGGTGGGTGTGGCCTGGTGTCTGCCATCCTGCGGTCCTGTGGCTCTCCCTGGTGCTGTCTACCCCCTCCCCACCGGGTTATCTGAGCCCACTCAGCAGGCAGCGTCTCTCCCACCTGCCGTCCACCAGGGCCGGGCACCCGGGGAGACCGTGGCCTTCACTCCCTGCACCACCTTCCAGGTCCTTCCTTCAGCCACTGCATGCCTGTTTGTGCAAGGCCAGCACACCCGGCAGGCACCACGCAGGGGTCCCGCAGAAACCCACGGTGTGAGCGGCTGTGCACTTCCCCTGGGAAGCACACTTGCAGGACACGCACATGGGGGGGGGGGTGGCTGTGGGCTCAGAGCCAAGGTGTTAACACCCTCCCCTACCCCACCCCTGCGTGCATGAGGCTGGGCCCTGTGAAGCCCCTGGGCTTGCGGGAAGTCGGCGAGATTACGGTTTTGCATAATGCAAATCAAGAGCTGAAGGTGTTTGCTCTGCCTCTGCCGTGGATGCAATTAGAGCGAGGCAAAGAACACCAAAAGAAATGCACTGCATTTCCCCGGGACAGCGCGGGCTGCTTGGTATGCGGAGAGCCAGGGCCTGGGCCGGCGAGCAGCCGCAGCCAGCAGCCGGCGACTGTTTGATTTGCAGCTCTAAAGAATTTAAGGATGAATAAAACATGGAATTAATTTTCAAAGAACGGTTGTCGAATGGCACAAGATCTAAGCATTTCGTGGGAACAACGGTTAAGGTGATATCCGTGCCATGCTCTGGGCTCCGGGGCTTTGAATCCTTTATGCTGCCGGAATCCTCTCCTGACTGCCTTGCCTCTCTGACCCTATGCAAGCCTCCTTTTCCAGGCAGCCCTCCGCGCTTGCCCCAGCCTGCCGGCCCCAGCTCCTTCCATCCCAATTCACTAACCACTCACCCACCCCGAGGAGGGGGGTCATGATTCCAGCAGGTGGGGGCAGAGCAGTCAGTATCACCCACAGCAGCGCTCCTTCCCTGCCGGAGCCCATGCAGGCCCACCCAGGTTCGGGGCAGTTGATCTCCACACCTGGTCCCCCGGGCTCCAATTTCAGGAGCTCCAGGGACTGTTTGGGCCCCACAGTGGCTTGTGAGCGCCTTTGCCCAGGGTGGGGGGACACCCTGGGGGCTGTGCCTGAGCTGGGCCTTCCTTGCCGCTGTCAGGGGGCAGCCCCTGCCCGCCACGGTCCCTGAGTCCTTGGGAAGCCACAGGCCTCTGGTGTCAGATGGGGAGGGGGGGGGAGGAGGGGAAGCTGTGCAGGGGTGAGGCCCTGCAGAGGTGAGGCCCTGCAGGGCCGGGAGAGGCCTCAGGGGCTGAGGCCATGCAGGGGGTGGGGGTGGCCACGCTGGGTAAGGCCACACGGGGGGGGGAGGCTGTGCAGGGGGGAATCCGCATGGGGGGAGGCCATGCAGGGCGGGGGGGTTGGCCATGCAGCACAAGGCTGCACGGGAGGGAGGCAATGCAAGAGGAGGCACAGGGGAGGGGGAGGGGAGACCATGCAGGGGTGAGGCTGCACAGTGGGTGAGGCTGCTGTTGCTCCCCGTGTCCCAAGGAGGACGCAGAGGGTCTGGGTGCTGGACCTCTGCTCCCTGGTGGTCCTTTACTTCCTGCCCCCCTGGCTCCGGCCTGCTCTGATCCCCGCATTGCTGGGGTACCTGTCAGGCTCACTGGCCGCCCGGCCCCTCCCGTGGAGATGGAGGACAGGACAGATGAGGCTCTGCCCATGGAAGATGGCCAGGGACGGATGTACCAGCCCCTGGCATGGACACGGGTCCCGTGTCCACCCAGAGAGGCCCATGTGGCAGACTTGTTTCCATGTGGAAGGCAGGAGGGCATGGTGGGGCCTGGCTCCTCTGCATGCCATGTGGCAGCTCTGTGGGTCCCCCATACCCCAGCCAGAGCCCCCCAGTGCCTCGATGGGGGTCCTCTGTAGCTGATGCCAGGCTGGAGGCTGGAGGCCCACCGCTGTCCGGCGCGGCCATGCTTTGTCCCTTGTCATGGGGTCTCCGGGAGCAGCAGCGTGGACGGTTCAGGCTGTCCCTGCAGAGCTGAGCTGCAGGGCTGACCTGGCCATGGGCAGGGGGTGCCCAGCTGCATGCGAGCACCGGAGGGGACCCCTGCCCCAGCATGGTGGCCTGGACCGCGGGGGACACAGCCCCCGCTGTCCCCCATCTGCTCCGCCCGCCCTCCGCAGCGCTGGACGGGCTCCCAGGGAGTCACTGACATCCTGCTTGTAATTAAACCGTGATTTAATTATCCGTTGAAATGAGGTTCCAGAATTCATCCTGGATGAATCCTAGCCTTGTTAGACAGTGGCTTCCCGCCCTGCTCTTAGAAAATGAGGACATGGGAGAGAACAGGGAGTGTGTGTGTGTGTGTGTGTGTGTGTGTACTCAGGGCCACTTTCAAAGGCGGCTGTCCAAGGTTGGGGAGCTGAGGGATCGCAGCCCAGGCCCCCCAGGCCCAGTGCACTCCAGGTGGAGGTAAGACAGGAGTCATCAGAACTGTCCAAAGCCAGACTGAGGCAGTGCTGTGTGTCCTGGGGCAGGTTGCCTGTCTCTCTGAGCTGACAGGGAAATCACATGGTGAAGGTGCTCTTGCTGGGATCCAGCGTCCTCCTTCAGGCCTCAACTCAGATGTCACTTCTGAGTTGCCTGGTCGGTATGCCAGCCCGGCATGGCTCAGGTGGTAGAGTGCCAGCTGAGCAAGCACCAGGCCCTGAGTTCAAATCCTAGTACCACCAAAAAAAAAAAAGGAAGTGACTTTTTCAAGTATACTGTTTTATTTCCATGTCTTCATGATTTTAGTTTCCTTGTTTTCCCTATGCATGTACAATTAGCTTATTCACACATATAAACTGTGCTACTGGCTTGGGGAGGGGAGCGGAGCTGGTCCTGGGGCTTGAACTCAGAATCTGGGTGCTGTCCCTGAGCTATTATGCTCAATGTTCTGCCACTTGAGCCATAGCTCC